GAATTCACATCTTGTGCTGTCGTAACTTACAATTTTCGGAAGGATCCCATGACAGAAAAAAGTGAAATATTGCTACCATAGTGTTACAGTTGTCAAAATATGTGGAAAACGAGACTCAGGTAGATGAACCGTCTGCACGCACAAAATGGGTTATGTAGGAAAAAAGAAGAAGCATTTATTACAGCAAAGTTTGCCTTTTATGTGTCATGTGATATTCCAGTGGTTCAAATTTTCGAAATTCACAAAACTAGAGTCTAGGATGTTCTTTGGTCTCTACCGTTTCCGACTGTAAAAGTGCCTTTTGATTCCTTGAACAACTCTCGTAAAAGAGGAAGTTTCGAAGCTTCGGCTTTTACAGATTAGAAGTTCAAATTCCAGAAAATGCTTGTACGCAAGATCTTCGCGCCTGAGATCTAAAAAATTCCACAGATTCTTTTCCCAGAACTTCACAGCGTTCCGATAGGTGCTAAGCAGATGACTCAGCACATTGTCTTCCGTGAGTTTTCGGCAGTTCACGTTTTTTTCTTCGGTTTGAGGGAGCCACAAGAACCCGGCACATGATCCATCATGAAAACATTTTTCTCAACATCCAGATGTAATGCACTAAAGTCGGGGCTTCTTCATGCTCGTATAAAAATGAAGCATCTCTCTTCCATTTCTTCGTCCGCAGTCGTTTATCACAAAGGTTCACATAGGTGAAGTCAATCATTCGACTGCCTGATGCCAGCTTTGTATTGCTCTTCAGCATCTAGCTGAACTCTGTTACAAATATTTTTACTCTCTATTCATCATCTCTACCGTACACTTTCACATGTATGCATTAGATCCTTTGATGATAATTTGATAAAAATGTGTATTGAACACCACGCACGGTACTTCAAATGCTGCTGCTATATGCTCAAAAGCTGCCGATTTCCAAAAAATTCTTAGATTTGATGTTGTTATAACTTGATTAGTTAAGGAGTAGCTACTGGCGCCCACTTTAACAGTTTCTCCCACTAAGACGAGCTTCACTACGAAATTGTTGATGAAGAGTCGTAAATTGCTAGGCATTGTGTGTAGGTTCACACATGAAGTCAAAAGGACTAAGCTATACGTACTACTACTACTGTACGTACTACTCCAGTAATAGTTCAAACACAGAGGGGTAGAAAGAAACTATGAGATTTCAATGCTTCACTAACCTGCAAGACCGAACGGAAGTCTACTCTCCAAGAACTCTTTTGCTTTCAAAACTCACAAGGAAGAGTTTAGCGCAGAACAATTACCGTACCTTTACAGTAGATCGCTTTGTAAAAATAGGCATGAAGACAATTTTGAAAACCTGCACCGATGAAGCATCGGGATCAATGTGTTTTAGTCTAACTTGAAGTCCCTCTCTACCTATACCGCTTTATAAGAATGAGCATAAAATCATTTTAGAAATCATTCGTATTGAATTATAAGAAGTGTAGAATAGACTGTGCTACCGTATGCTTAACGTAAGCAAAATAAAGACAAAAAATTAGTCTGAACAAAATTTTCATCTTGATTGACTGCAACACACGTGCAGTTGAATTGTACCGTAATCCTAGATTATGTCTATTCCTAAAGAGCATTTCCGGACTCGAGTGTATTACAAAAACCATCGGAATGTGTGCAGAGCAGGTCAAACTACTGTATATCCACCGTATGTAATATTAAGACAACGAAAAAATGCTTCGTGTGATGTTCTGTGTGAGAGTTATTTGAAATGACTTTGAGCTGGGGGGGGGGGGGGGGGGGGACGAGTGGTCTAATAGTACGAGGCACTGCTATGACCCATCTATGATCGGACCCATCTCGCCTCTAGGTCATCCAAACCCTCTACCCTCCGGGGCCGGTAAATTGGTACCTGAGAGGATAAAAGCACTGACTTGCTTTCGACTGGCCCACGCAAGTCATGGTAATAGGCCCGCATGCACTCACAGGGGAACGATCCCAACTAAGGTGGCGAATTGGAATGAAACGCATACCATTAGATGCGTCTTGATGAGCTGATTCCAAATCTGTCTTCCATATCTGCGACACCGTTATCTGCAAAAAGTTATGAGCGGTTGAAAATGTGAAGTTATCGGGGTTTTAAAGGCAGCGTCCGGGCAAGATCCATCTACCCAGATGAGCACATAGTTGTAAAGAGGGGCCCATGAGTACCCGATCTGCGTTAGTCCGATTCTCTGACGTGGCCTCTAAAAGGAGATACAGGCCTGTGATACGTATCACAAGCCGCCCCTTCGTATCACAAACCACCTCTGAGGACGTGTGCTTACGCAGGTGTGCGGTTGCATTGCAGTTGCATTGCAGTTACATTGCAGTTGCCCTGCACACTGCAATGCAACTGCATCCGTGCTGTTGCAGCTTCTCCCGCTGGCATGACGATGTGGACGAGCGATTCGAAACTCGTCCGCTCCTTAAAGAAAGGGTCCCCAAGAACCGGGTTTTTTGGGAGTTTTGAACAATTTGGACTTTACAACTGTAATCAGGGCCACGGAAAGGCCCCAGAATGGCAGAAACATGGGAGGTGAAATTTTGCCCGGACGCTGCCTTTAATGCATAGTATGCTTTAAAATCCAACTTGGAAGTGCACGACTAGCACGATATTGAGTGTACTGATTCCAGGAAATGCTCAGATTCTGAAGAAACACAGATAAGTGTTTCTGAACAACTAATTTTCGAGGTATGGCGCTGTACATTTGCCAAATTTGGACTTTTCATTGCTCAAAGCTTTTACCAAGGAACTTTAGTTGCTTTTTAGCTGCTCAAAAACACTTATCTGTGTTTCTTCAGAATCTGAGCATTCGCTGGAATCAGTACACTCAATATCATGCTAGTCGTGCACTTCCAAGTTGGATTTTGAAGCATATTATGCATTAAATCTCCGATAACTTCACATTTTCAACCGCTCATAACTTTTTGCAAATAACGGTGTCGCAGGTATAAAAGACAGATTTGGAATCAGCTCATCAAGACGCATCTAATGGTATGCGTTTCATTCCAATTCGCCACCTTAAAGGCAGTGTCCAGGCTAAACCTAGCCCCCTCCGATCAGTGTCGATCCTGAATGTAGGCCCCAGAAAAGGGCCATCTGCGTTGGTCCGGTCTTCTAACGTTGTCTCTGAAAGGAGATAGGGGGCCTCAAAGTTCCTGGCTGGGCAGAGTCTGATATCAGACTCCGCCCACCAGGGACTGCTCATTACCTTGTCAATACGTGCCTCCCGACACGTACTGACAAGGTAGTGAGCAGAAGCTGCACACTGCACACTGCAATGCAACTGCACTCATGCAGTTGCAGCTCCTTCCCGCTGGCCTGCCGACGGGGACGAGCAATTCGAAACTCGTCCACGCCCTCAAGAAAGGGTCCCCAGGAATCGGGTTTTTTGTTAATTTTGGCGAATTTGAAGTTCAGAACTGTAATCAGGGCCACGGAAAGGCCCCAGAATGACGAAAACATGGGGGGCCAAATTCTGGGTGGACGCTGCCTTTAAGTTGGGATCGTTCCCTTGTCAGTAACCTCTTCGACCATGAAGTAGAGTGCGTTCGGCGCATGCCCGTAGAGGGTATTGGAGACGCTAAATCCATCTTTTATCCTTTCTAAGCTACAGTTTATATAATGTGCGCTTTCAATAAAATATTGAAAAATCATTTATGTTGCGAGTCATTTCATTGTGATGGCGGTAAATGCGCAAAAGAGTTGTACCGTAACCCTACAGAGTTTCTAGACCAAAGGCATTTACAAATTCAAGATTTCTCCTCGTTACTGCACCAGTATAGCAAGATTTGTAAACTCAAGAAAGAAAGACTGTAAGAAACTTGTATCGTAACCCTAGGTGTGCCTTCCAGAGGGCAACTTTTGCTGATGCTACCGTACAATATCCCGGAAACTTCTCGGGTTCAAATTTTTCCCGTGTCCGAGATGTTTCAATTGTTATTGTAAAATGTGTAGAAGAATTGTACCGTCCCACTATGCCTACAGATTAACCTCAGTTGTACGATTTTCCCGATGACTGATTTTCTTCGGTGATTCCTTACTGGGGGTATGGGTAACATCTGGAAAACCGTGCTCTGATACGTATGGAACAGCTGGTCACAGAAAAATGAGACTTTGTTCCGAAATGCAAGCAATTTATTTCTTTGCCGTAGGATTTTGTAAACATTATACAAATCTTTCTGAAACCAAGATCCAAAGTTATATAGTCAGAGCCGCTCCTCTCTATATAATCTCAAATAATTGTGTCCATTACTACATGTGATTGATGCTCTTGAACTTTTTTCCCCTCGGCATAAGAAGTTCGTTTTTCGGGCCCCTAAAAGTGGGTGTAATACACTAGAAATCACCAGATACGCGACGAGAGGGGGCACTGCACTGTCGGCTATTTTATGAGTGTGCACCAAATTGTTATGATGGTCCTTTTTGTGCTCTTTCTCACCTCTATTTACTCCCTATTTTGAAAGTTTCATTCTATTTTTATACTCGCTATCAACACTCATTCTCAAAGAAGTCGAGCCGTGCAATTTATTTGCTCATAAAGTTGGGAGAAAACGCGACTTGCAGAACAAAGAAAGCGCGATAACCCTTTTTAGGAATAGATAAGCCAATGTTGCGAATTATATGGTCATTGACTGTCTTGCTGCGTTCTGAAACCGGAATTATTTTCAGATTTTGTTTTTTTCTCGATTTATCGAAACTATTGAAAGAAAAAAAAATTGAAAATTGCGATAAATAAATTCACTTTTCTAATTTCAATTTTCAATTTCTTTGGCAAAATTCTCTTTGGCAATGTCTATTCGGCAAATCCTTAATGCTTTTTGTTTTTTTTCTCTTTTTTCTAAAAATTCAGCTAGACCTAATATACCTGGCAAAAGTTCATTGTCTTTTGAATTCGTCTCCTGTAAATAGACATTCTGTTTTTGATTTATATCCTCTGCTTTTGTGGCATGCCTCGCGTTTGAATAATCAAATAAATAAATCAATAAATAAATAATTTCAGATCACCTTTGAGCGAAAACACTACTCCTCTATTCATGAGGTATTTGACATCAGTTGCTCTTCTCCTATTTGTATTATTCGGCTACTTAGAGGCTAAGGTAAGTTTTGTAAGAATACTTCATTTGTTTCCTTATACTTTGTCTCCTTGCATGAATCTTAATCTCATTCCTTTGCGAATTATTCTTTTAAGTATGTTTGCTTAGCTCTCTGAAGAAATTGATAAGAACGTTCTTGTCACAGCCTTGAATTGGCTTCGCTAAATGTTCACAGATAGAACGAGATCGATTCCAAAAATCTTTCACTCCGCGTCTGGTGCAAAATTTTTTTTATTCTTTGAAAGGCCCTACAACGACTTTTAATGCTTTTCTTGATGCCTGTGGTTTTACAGTAATTTTTTGATGCTCAATAACTGTGAAAAGGTTCGAACGAATATGGAGTACAAATCTTCAAAACTGGACAAAAACTGCAATGGGTCAAACAGTCTCAAAAATTGGGTCGTCAAGGTCATATATTCTATCTGGATTACAGATTTTTTTTATCGATAAACTAGAGTTAAGGGGTTTTTTAGTTAAGGATTAAGAATGGTCATTAGAGCTACCAAACTAAGTGTTACTTCTGTTCAGAAGACAAATTTTTAGAAAAGTTTAGGGATAATTTATTGTTGAAAAATTCAAGCTTGTGTGATGCTAAAAACTGCTGTACTCAGGGCTCGGCACGATGTGGCTTTTGGAAAATGCAAACGAAATCCCCCTTAACTTTCGCGAATTTTTACGAAGTCCCCTTTGACACTAAACAAAAACGTCAAAAAAGGAAACGTTGACCAAAAAACTTCGCGATTTTTATGTCTTTTCGGCCTCAAAAACGATACCATCTTTGGTTTTCGTCCAAAAAACGATACCGAGCTTGCTTGCCGCAGTAAAATAAAAAACTCAAGATTGTGTGCATTTTCTGAAATATCTGAAGAGAATTAACGCTGATATTTTCTCTTATAACGCCCCCAGATCTCAGATAAATTTATTTTCGATTCTCGAAGGAACTAAACAGCAATGGAGAAAAACCGGTGATTGAGTGATTGTTTCAGTTCTATGGCAAAAAAACGCCAAAGCACTTTTATTCTCAATCCTGTGATTGTATAATAAATGAACTAATGCTTCGCTAGCGCTTTGTTGCTTGACATGCAATTACCACCTCGAATGATTAATGATAGTTCAAAAGTTCAGAGTCTTGCAAAAATTCTAAGCCGTAAAATGCGGACATCGTTTAGGTTAGCAGTAAATTGATATTACAACAAAGTTCGAAAGTATCGCATTGCTCCGGGAAGCTTTTAAGTCTCTGGAATTTTTCTGGTCTTTGCACAATGAGCATGTTCACGTGAACAATTTGACTTTTGAAGAAGAAGCTAGTCTTCCCGAAAGTTTGTCCAAAAAGCGATCATAGATAAGATCGAGCGTTTGTTCAAGAAACGATCTTATAAAACCTACTAAAGAATTCTTGTACTTGAATAATAAGTTAGAAAGTCACATTACTGCGTAGTAGAATTTTTACTGCAGAAATTGTACCACTTTTCTTCATCAAAAACTGAAGACTAGCAAATACAAAATTCAACTCTGAAGGATTGTTCCGCTATCGATATTAATTTTGGTTACTGTTAAGATTAAATTATTGATAATTATATAAAACTGACTAGATTCAAGGGAGTCATGTAGAAACTGGTACCTCCAGTATGTGAAAACGAATGGGGGAGGGGGCATCGACAAGTAATTCATGGTTAAAACCTTGTATTGATTCAGTTTTCTAGATTATTTCATTTGGCAAGATAGTTGAATATAACTGTTTTCAAAAGTATGTTTTTTCACTGGAAAGGCAAAATGCTAGGGTCATAATATCTTAAACGGGATTGATCAACCAAAAATAGCTTGTAAATGAATTACTGATGGTCTGAAATCTGTTCTATATTATTTGTATATAAATAACTTAGTTTTATAAATATTATTTATTTGCAACTGGAGCGTATCTAAAGCGTATCTATGTATCTATCGTAAAAGCGATAAAATATTAGGCTGGCTAAAAATAAGTTCGTTTTGGCATGAAGAATTCATATAAATTTTCCTTAATGTTTCCTATCCATGATTCTTTGTAAAGTAGTAAAAAGCTTCCTTTATCATGAATCAAATATTTGGGATTTTCCATAATTAGTAAGAACAGTTATGCCACAACATGGCTAAATTTCCACAAGCTCATCTTCAACCTCTTAAGCTTCGTCTTTCCTGCTGTAATCAATGTAGAGAACAGCAGTTTGGTATTTGGATACAGAGGAGTTTTTCCTATTTAGTGAATAACAATGAAAATTGTGACCTGCCACTTTGAAAATCTTTTATTAAACAAACCAAATTTCCTCATATTGGCGCACGTTGAACAATTAGGTTTCTCACTTTTTTTGCCGATTTTTTTTTCTTTGGAAGGTAAATTCTACCTAAACAGAGTTTATTTTCCAAATCCTTTTTAGGTGCTCTTTCGATACCAAACACTGGATAAAATTCTGTCTGCAGCACTTGTAAGAGCCGCAAAAGCGACCGAACTTATTTATTAGCCAACTTTTAATAGCCAATATTTGTTGGCAAAATCAAACCACTTTTTGGGAGCGAAGTGTTTGGAGAACTTCAAAGAATTACTATGAAAATCAAACTAATCTTCGCAACTGTTTCTTGAAAAATCAAAATCACGCAGTACCCTTCATATTTTGTGAAGAATGTTATCAATCCGCTATTTTCTTTCAAAACAACAGTCGAGGACTGCCTGCATATCTTGGACTATAATTCACTAAATCTTTTGCACTACCCGAGCAAGCCATAAATTTCGCTAAACACGCCTAACAGCTGTTTGACAATGTTGGGTAGAGATTAATGATTTTCGAGCTTCTCGAAGGTAAGGCATTGGATGAGTCTTATAGCTGCAAAAAACGTAGTCAGGAATCTTGTATTGTAAAGTAGTTGAGTTATTTTCGTACTTTCGGGTACACTGACGCAAATGTTTAGGTAATGAGGAGGGAGAAGCATGACAGAAAGAAAAAGAAGTTTCTAGGGATTCCACAAAATTAAAAATTTCTGTACAATTTCTCCATAAAGTAAACGCATCCAATCGGATGCTCAGATACAGTTTTCAGTCATAAAAAACGGCAGAAAAACAAAAAAATTTTCCAGCCATATCCAGGCCGCTGCCGTAATAGGCAAGTGTCAAAATGTGCATGGAAAAAAATGCGACAACGACGCTTTCCGGAACCACAGTAAGTCGTACAGATCATTTTTCAGATTCTAGTAGTCACGAAGCTTAGAGTCATGAGGCCCTCGGCAAAAACTTTCTTGCAAAAAACTCACCTTTAGGGATCGCCTACGTGTAGTGTGGTCATCGGATGGGCTCGTAGGCAATAGATACTTTGAACGTGACGGAAAACATTTCCTTGAGATACAGGTGGGATTTTCTGGAATTTTCCAACATCAATTATTTCATATAGTAGTTAGCATTTGTTACATATTTATACAATTTCGGTTTTTGGAAACTCGTATTCGTGATTCATTAAGAAATGCTGTTTATGCTCTTTCTTCCCAGCATTTGTGCATGATTAAAAAAGGAAAGATGATTATGCTTCTTATGAAATGAAAAAAGGCACTTTTCAATGATTTAAAAAATCAAAACGATACACTGAAGTCATAAAAATATAATGATTCTGAAACAGGGCCCGGCACGAGGTGGGCAAACGGGGTTTTCCAAAACGAATTCCCCTTTGATCCCAATAAATTTTACGAATACCCCCTTGAGCCCAAAAATGACGTTTTGTGCTTGTGCGACGAGATTACCGGCCACACTTCGCCTAAAAGCGCTCAAAAGCCCAAATTGCTCAAATTCCTCAAATTACTCCTCAGCTGTATCAAGATAGGAAACAGGAAGAAAAATAAGCAAGAAAAATGATTAAGGATTGAGAAAATATCAAAGAAACGCAGTCATAGGAATGAGAGACGCCGTTCCCGCGCGTATCGATTGACTGGGGCGCGCTTTCCATCTTAGAAAGCTAGGCTGCTGATGCGATTTTGGGCTCTAGCAATGAGGGGAGGAGGAGATTTGGAACCAAATTTTCCATATATACTAATCTTTAGGGGTACAGTAGATTTATGTAAAAATTTTGAAAAAATTATGTGAATTGAGAGTTTGGCCGACCTCAGGTGGGAATTAGGTCGGCAAATGCCGACCTAATTTGGAAATTAGTTAAGGAAACTCTTCATTCACATAAGTTTTTCATAATTTTTCATACTTTGTTACTTAGTCCTATTGCGCATATACACACCAAGTCCCGCGCGATTTCGTTTCCTCTGCGTGAATTGAAAGTTTTGCCCACTTCAGGTGGGCAGTAGGTGGGCAATTGCCCACCTAATTTGGAAAAAAGTTAAGCATGCTCTTCCACATAAATTTTTCATAATTTTTCATACATTGTTCCTTAGTCCTACTGCGCGTACACACACCAAGTCTCGCGCGCTCTCGTTTTCTCTGCGCTGCAAACGAGCCATTTTTCCATTTTCTTGATAGTGGGAAATTTCCAGACAAAAGCTTGCCACAACATTCAGTCACATAATTTTTCAATGAAACTTTTAAGTTAAGCCCTGCAGGCCCGTGTTCATCTACCTACCAAATTTCATACCATATCGTCATCTGTGCGCTGTAAACGAGCCGTTTGAACTCACATCTTCATTTACCAGTTTTGCAAAACTTTCGGAATAAATGCTTATTACTCGTTGCGTTCACATAAGTTTTTCATAATTTTTCATACCATGTTTCCACTAGCCTCTCTCCGTTCGCGTACAAAATTTGGTGCCATATCGTTACACATACATTAAGAACCAGTCATGTATGCTGTTACAAGTAGTATTGCTTGAGCGACGTCGCGCGTGCGGCAATTAGCGACGGCGCGATTTGAGCGCCCGAACTCCAGTGTTCGCCTGTTGAGGCACATAACATGTTAAGATAAGTAGCGAGCATGAACTACCAATTTTTTTCCGGGGCTTCGCCCCGGACCCCGCAAAAACGATTTCCCCTTTGCTTTTTGGCCCCAAAACGATTTCCAGCTTGGCATTTGCCGACCTCGTGCCGGGCCCTGTTCTGAAACAGAGAATTTTTTGAAATTAGTTAAAACTTACAGGAACTAGTCCCCATTGGCAATGGAAGATACAGAATTGTATCAAGAGAAGAGGAGACGACACCACCACCAGCAATTCCACAGCCTCAGGTTCATATTTCATATTTCTTATTACTTGCATTCTGACTTGACTTTTTTTTCAAGCTCTTTTTTCCTCAGCCCTTTTGCACCATGCTATTCTGACACATTACGGCGGCCTAAGCCAAGAAAAGATCGTTAGTTATGATTTTGAAAAAAATGAAAAAAATGAAACGTCGCCTAAAAAACCCTAAGTTTGGACCCAAAAAACGATACCCCTTTTGCTTTTTGTTCCAAAAACGATATCCAGCCTGCTTATAAGCCATCTGTGCCAAGCCTTGGTTACGGCATGGTGTTTATGTGCAAAAAGGCCTATCCGCAGAATTAGAGTAAAATCCAGCAAACTCGAATTTTCTTGAAATATGAATATACAGGGTGCGGCAAAAGTCTGGGAGCCTAACTTTGCAGTACTGCAATTACAAAGTTATTGATGGTTTTGATTTCAATTTTATGCCACATCATGCTGCGGTCATCCTCTACAGAAAACACTTTTTTTGGTTGGAAATGGCTGCCATATGTTTTTGTAAGAATGGAAATTACCAAACTGCTACTCTTGCAAAGCGAAAAAACCAGAATTTTTGGTGTTTACAATTTTTGCTGTAACTAGAGCTGCTGTTAATATTTTACAAAACTCCGATGCACACAATATAGAAGAGGCTTTGCGCTATTGTATCCTAATTTTGCTTTTGCCAGGAGGTGTTCTTGCATGAACGGAAAATAAAAGTTTGCGAATGTTACCTACGTGCCAGTAGAAATCCGTCTTCAGAACAAATTTAAAAGCTGTAGAATGCTCAACAGGCACTGGGACCAAGGTTGTACTCCCTTCGTACGTCTTCTAAATTAGAATCTATTGAAATTCGGCCATGGGAACAATTTTTATACTTTTTAAACGACATTTTCAAGTTTTTATTCGCGCAATTGTAGCCAAAATTCCGGTACGCGACGCACACATGCTTCTAATTGAAAATCCAATATTTTTATTTCTAAGCAATGCAAAAAACTCTTTTATAAGTATGTTGTAGACAAAAGTTTGCTCTATCACGCTGCGCATTTTCCATTGTATAAAAAGCAGTTATTGTGAAGGCATGGGGCGAATTCCATTACGACTACCTGCGTGCCATGACAGGTGGACTTTCCAAGATTTTGCAGGGCTGCGTGGAAGCCAAAAGAGGCAGTTTTGCAATTCAAGAACTGAGCTGTATCTGCAATGGTTCGAATTATGTGTGCGCCAAATTTCTCGTTTCTAGGTACTTCCCTTCTCGTTTTGTACGAAAAAGTACTAGGCTCCCAGACTTTTGCCCCACCCTGTATGTTACCATACAAAATTTACTCCTCTGTAGTTGATGAATTTTATATTAGGAGCCGTCTGGAGCTGGAAGTGGTCCACGATCGTGGATGGATGAACTTGCGGCAGTACCTGCTTGGCCAACGAGAGTTGAGGTATGCACAGCTTTTGATAGAATAACCTATTCATAAAACTTTTTATTGTAATTGCAAACCCTGTCAATTTCTTGCTTTTTTTTGTTAATCGCATTTCATGTAATTCACATAAATAGATTTTACGAGGTTAGAAGAAGGTTCAGGACCCAAGACAAAGCGGTGCTAGGCAAACGGAACCAAGATTAGACGAAGCACCACAGCAGCACCCAGAACCCAGGCCTGAACTAGAGCAGGTACACCCAGAACCCAGGCCTGAACTAGCGCAAGTGCAGCCAGAACCCAGACCGAGACCGGTGCCAGTACAGCCAGAAACGAGGCCTGGAGTGCAGGCACAAGCAGAGCCAAGGCCTGTACCACAGCAGCCACACCTAGAGCCACGAGAAGAGGTAATTTATCGTTTTTTAATATGAAAAGATGTTGTCGTTTTTGCACTTTTAGTACCGTAAGCTACCGTAATCTCGTAGGACCTCGAGACTTGCAAGCGCTACATTCTGCGACGCGTTTTGACTAGCTTTATTATTCACGACAAAGCCGATTTTTCGATTACTGCCATTTCGGACCAGAGCCTTTTTCGCTTTGTCAAACTTACGATCCACGCATGGGTCGTATTGTCCAAAACGGCAGAACAGGTACGACCCATCGGTGGGTCGTAGTCGTGAATGTGTGAGATCGATGACTATTCACCTTCTGCGCTTCTATTACCGTACGCTACCGTAACCTCGCACTCCGTCTAGAGATAGGAAACGTTACATTCCATGACGCCTTTGAGAAGGTTTACGGAAAGGATGAAAGAGTAAACATCGCATCAAATGTTGCCGGGCAAATACATGTCGCTCCACCGCCACGCTGCGTCACTAGCTTACTGTAGCGGTGCAAAGGGACCGTCTCCCAGCTGCTCTTCCCAGCGCACACTTCCATAAGAATTCCATTTAGGACCAAAGTCATGTCGATGACGAACGACAACATCCTCAAAGCAGGGTAATTGAACCTGCACAGCCACCAGTACAACCTGAACCAGTGCCAGTAAGGTCTGAGGTAAGTCGATGCAATAAAATCTTAGGTGTTAGATGAGCTTTCTTCTTTCCAGGACCGAATTCCATCTGGCGCTGAAGAACCACAAAGAGAGCCACAGGTGGAAACACCGAGTGCATCTGATGTCGTGGCTGTGCCTATAAGACAACGAACTGAAGTAGGCTGAAAATTTTTCGAGTTTTTTTTGAAAGGGGAAGAGTCTAAATATTTAGGACTTCCCAGAAATTCCAGCAGCTTATTATGATGAGACCTGGTACGAACCGCCTGGCCAAACATTCTATCCAAGATTGGTAAGTTCCGCGTTTACAAGTAATTTTGGTGAACTAATCCCTTTCTCCAGCTCTACTCTCCCCGCTATGGTTGGAGGGAAATGACCCAGGACGAAGTATCCCGAGTAAGAAGTATTAGACCCATATCTGAGCATGAAGAGTCAAATGGGCGAGACATCCATCCACAAATGGAACTTTATCCTTCCCAACCTCAGCAAAACGTCCAACCCGCTCAGCAGACTCACGCTGAACCTAAGCAAGACCAAAAGGCAACAATTTTGACGCAAAATCTCGAACAGAAAGAGGATGAGGACTCTCCAAATAACATTTTACACGGCCAACAAGGAACATGGATATTTCGAAACGATAAATGGGAATTTGAACCCCATGGAGCTGTGGAAATAGCTGAAACCACTCCGGAAAGCGTAGCACCTGTTTACGATTCGGGAACTTGGGTTTTCGACAACGGTGCTTGGCATTATAGACCCCTATCACGACCTTTTGAGAGAGAACAGGTACAACCCGATCAGGAGCCAAGACGACCCGGTCAGGAGCAGCCACAACCCAATCACGAGCGGACACAACCCGATCAGGAGCAGCCACAACCCGATCAGGAGCAGCCACAACCCGATCAGGAGCAGATTCAGCCCGGGCAAGAGCTGATACAGACACAACCTGAGCAAGAACAAAGAATCTCTATTCCAGCCGTGACTGTGGACGAAAATCAGACAACTGGCGAGAAAAAATTGGTGAAGGTGAAAAAATTCCCAAGAGCCCCTGATCATCAGGATAATCATCGAGAGTTGCTGGCTAAGGCTGTTTCAATGGAGCAAGAAGAAAAGAATGAAAATAATGGAGAAAATGATAGAGATGACTATAGCAGATGGTATCACTCATATCGTAGGGAACAAAACGACCCGCAAGAAAGGGAAAACGCATGGAATGCCCAAGACACTAAAGCCATAAGACTTAGTGACGGACAACTGCCACAACCTGAATCCGCCCACTATCTCCAAAATGGAAATATGGCCGCTGTTGTCTACTCAGAGAATGATCGCAAAACTGAAGAAGATGAAAGGAATAAATCCCAAGGAGCAAGTTATTTTCTCAAAGAAGGCAATCTAGGAGCCTATGTCTACTCTGGAGACGAAAACTCGTCCAGCGCTAAAGAAGAACGAAACCATCAAGCACCGTCACCACAGCGATATCTTTCTGCGGACGAGTATAAACGACTACAACCATCTGAAGTAAAAGTCCCCACTTTACAACTGAAAAACCCATCTGACATAAAGCCATGTGACGGTACCGGCTCGACTTCTGGAACTGGAGAGTTTTGGCTGCTGAGAACTCGTCCGTGTAATAGGAATTCACCCGAAGGCCGTATTATGCTGCCAAATGGAGAGATTCTGAGGTTTTTCGGCCAACCTCAACTAGTGAATGTTTAGACCTGCTCATCAGAACTGCTGTGGATCTCGTGTGATTGAGATTTTTTTAACTTGTAATTGTATTGTACATAGATTTACACGAATATTTTCTACTTGTATTTTTTCTGTCATTTATCTCTCAGAAGTACAATATTAGAGAAAATAATATTCTAGATAAAGCTTCTATGAACTTATCATTACGATGTGCACAAAAAAATGTAGCCCTTGCGCAATACCTACCGTATGCTACCGTAATCCACAGTCTCAGGGGCAAAAGTGACATAGCGATGCTCATGCGCTACCAGGTATGATTACGGTAACTTACTGTAGGTGAGGAGCTCCCGCTTGTCAACGCAAGTGGCATTCCAAATAATAAAAGCAAAACTATCGTGTGCTCTCAGTCTCCTCTCATATTTCCCTATCAAATGTCAACACCTGCTCAAATTGTGATCTTCCAAGAAGTACAGAATGTATTAGGTTTCGTGAATCTTTAGTTTCCTTGTGGAGGCTTGCTTTAGCTTATTGTTAGATCTAAAGTACTAAACACATCAATTTTCGACTGTGGAATTACGGTAAGGTTACTGCTGAAGAGGATGGACCGGGACTAAGCGTAAATCAAACTTGAAGAAAAAACTATTGCTGAGTTAGAGATGCTAATATTGGATTTGAAACTTGCCTGCTAAAGCGAGTTCTGGTTTGTTTCACTAGTATTTGAGAGCAGCATTTATTCCACATTTTTGAAGACTCTGATTACATCACTGCTTGCTAAATTAAACGTGCTTGAAAACCCCATAACAAAAGTGTCCAAAATTTTCGTGATTTTCGAAATGGCTGCTACTTCATAAGGACATTGTTGTCCTACCGTAATCCACAGTAATTCAAAGCAATTGCTGGTATGTTTTGTATATCCTGAAGCCTGCTCTAATGAGATATGAAGGTCCTCAAACCACAGAGAAGTACTGTCCATCAATTAAACAGTCACTATATTTTCTGTGATGCTCGCAATAAAGCGAATAGAAAACTCCGTCATCAGCTGAATAATACAATGAAGCCGTATAAGCTTACCAGGAAAATCATTGTGAGGTTATGGAATTCCAACCATATTATCTTATGAACCCTAAGTGATTAAAAAAGAGTGCGTGTTTTTAAAAACCTTTTTTTCTTCAGATCAGATCAATCAGATACTGTACTATAGCAGCAACAAACTACTATAACAATTCAAAAAATATATAGATAACTTTAATCTTACATAAAACCCACAAAGACCGGTAGTCACTGTTTTGCAAACATGTTGAGATCACTGGCAGCAAAAATCAAATCAACACCAGAAAATGGGAAATCTCAAAAATGTGTATCGAACAATTGAGCGGCAAGTGTTCGTAGTAATCGTTGACCCCTTCTAGACTGTTCTCGTGCCAGGACATCTCGTCCTTCAGGGTTCATACAGCTTCTATACGCATACGAAAACTAAAAAAAAACATTCATTGCTTTGAAAAATCGCTATCCCACATGGTGTAAACTGACCAACAAATCTGAGCTAGGTTGCATATGATTTCTTTCGTATACATCAGACAGGAGTTCAGCTAAGGTATTATCAAAAACCATGCAAGAATAGTCAGCACCAGAATCCAATGAAAGTTGGGAATACAAAAACTAAAGAAACATATTTTTTCAGACAAATCAATAAAAAAAAACAGATAAAAGTACCCGGACATTCGAAAAATATGACATTACCTCCATAGCCTTCATATATTCTTCTTCTCTCTTGTGTTCAATATTCTGACATACTAAGGCAGCTAATGTAAACCAGTACGATTTCGATAGGCACACTCGCAAACGTCGCCAAACCTGAAAATGGCAAAAAATTGGAATTTTCCGAATGATTAAGCTGTCTAGCAAGAAAATAGGTATAAAGGTGTCTTATAATTTTCTACCGTTTTTACCCTAGTTATCAGCATTTCTCGAGAACTAGCCTACAAAGGGTACAAATACATGATCGTACTCTGTATGTATGCTTATGAGCACGTGTGTGGAAGGAGCTCAGGACTTCTAGGGGCGGAGTTCGCCATTTTACTCCATTCATTTTCTCTTTATTTCTAGCCATGGAAAGAAACGAAATGTACAATTGACCGATGTGTCAAGCATAAGCTAGGATGAATGGGAAATTCTAAAGATTTGTTTGGGGCCGAGATACAGATAATATGATATAGATAGATATTTTTACGTTTGAGTTTCTGACTGCTATCATATTTCGGCTCAAAACTTCGTGTGGAACACGACTTGGACAGACTATTGATAGCCAACTTGTAGGACTTGTTTTGCTCTGTCGATTTATTACTTAAGACACATCAATTGATGGAAAAATACAAAAAGACGACGGTTTTGACAAACTATAAGAAGTTATGAGACACCTTGATAAACACGAAAATGACAAAAATCGAAAAAAAAAACTAGATATCATGCAAGAACTTTGTAAAATTTGACATAAAGAATGTGTTTAAAAAGTCTAAATGTAGCTGATTGGTTTCCTTTCATAAAATCAGATAAGAGCAAGCTACCCACCAAATCTTCCATCAAACTCTCATGAGGGGCCGACAACAGTGGTGTCCTGGAGGCAACTAGATATTCCATGTAAAGAATTCCAGCTTCACCCACTAGGCCTCTTCCTAAACTGGGAAATCACTCACACACTAAGAAAATATCAAAACTCACTACCCACCATATCGGAAATCAGCCGCACATCGCAACCAGTATGGATTTGCCGGATTCACAAGGAAAGCGTTAGTAAAGAAAATATCTAGCAGTTCCTGGACGGCAAGAATGTTCACATGACTGAGCCTAAATGGACATGCGGGTCACAAAAATATCAATAACAATGAATTCAGTGGGTGAAATTAATTATTCTGTAATCGGAAGCATCTCAACACAGCAACTCACTCTGATTCGTGTCCAAATATCTCTCCCAGCGGTAATGTCATTCGCAGATGTGGTCTCTTCTTGGCTAGCAGAAATCGGTTGAACAGGTAGCCAAAATAGGTGATCAAGAATGACAGCAACGACTCGTTCTAGAAAAGATAGATTTTGTAAAATTCAAGACACTTTATGACTAGAGACAGTTCTTACAAAAGTCTGTAGAAAAAAATTCAAATCTATTCAGTTGATCATGTTATTTTTTTTCGTTTGAATTATTTGACAAATGCAATTTTTTGAGAAGGGTATATTTACCCTAATAAGCCTCAAAAATCTAGTCAGCTCAAGTATCGTAGCAGCACGTGCTTGATCTTCCCTATCTCGTCCACGGCCGACATCTCTTCGACTGCCTCTGCTAGAAAAACAATCTCATTGAAATAAAATCAGAAAGTATCGATGAAGCGGTCTCACGTACCTGATATGATCGAACAACGGTCCAACATGTGCGTTGAATGTGTCGCAGACTTTTCGCATCTGGCTGACATCTTTTCCTGGAGCTGAACTCATCAGATAAGCTGCTAAAAGTTGCGCCATTGTCGTCGTTGTAGAGGGGAATCTCAAAAGAAATCTCATTTGGAAAAGACATCGAAAGAAGAAGGGAAATTACGCTTACTTGACTTCGGTGGTGATAAAATCAAAATCCTCAGCATTCAGAGCTCTAGCGAAAGTCTGGAAGAAGTTTATAAATTTAAAAATCACATTAAAGATGTAGCACTGTAAGATGATAATTTACATAATTTTTGTAGAAAATACTAATTACTCAATCATGATTTAATGTCCACTAAAAGAAAGGGAAGAGAGGGGGAGTGGGGGGGGGGGGGGAGGAGGAAAGAAGTGAAAAGAAACCAATAGAAATAGAACACACATAAATGATTCAACAGGGTTTTTTGAAATCTATGCTAGGCGTGATCGTAAGTACATTGAGTTTGGACGTTGAGTCTTTACTCTTCATTTGGACACTCCAATTTTTTGAACATAAACATTGGAAAAATTTATTCACCTGCGCTGCAAATGCAACTCCGCCTGCTTTCTTCAGAAGATCTGCATCCGCATTCATCTTGAATAACTTCTTCATGGATCTCAGTTGACGATCATCACCCGCAGCATCCGGAGCATCGTGACGTAGAGCTCTGGCTGATATACATTGTGCTTGTACTCGAACGGCCTAAAATGAGATCACCGGTTGAAATAATTTAATTAAATGATTCACACGTACACTATGAAGTTTTTGTGCCTAAATACTGGAAAAACTGACAAAAGGCAAAAAAACACTACACAATAAGTTTTCTGCGCGTTTTTCATTTTGCTGAGAACCAAAATTAAAAAATTTGCATACCTCTGTCAGCATTACTATTTGACAGTTTGCCGGCAATCCAAACTCCTGCCAATATGTTTGACATTCCGCATCCCATTCCGTTCGATTCTGAATTCACAAATCAATATTTGAGGTGATGACGATGAATTCATAGTTGCCTACCATCATCTCGGCTAGTTGATTCAGCTTAGCTAGCAATATCGCATGGAGTTCATTCACTGGTCGAGTTATGAGCACACAATCAGCCAGCATTTCCGGCATGATAAACTAAAAATAGAAATTTCTCGATCCTAGAAAAATGCTGGAAGTTCTTTACCATGTACGGTCGCAAGAACGGGCGTTCAATGGTGGTCATGGCTTGTTTCAGTTCGACAGCATTGAAAGATGTTACCACAGTCCAAAATGGGTTGTCACTTGCAAGGATCACTAAAATCAAAAATGTGAAAGATCTAGCAAAAACTCAAAAAAAAGTTGTTCATGTTATGAGGTTGAAAAAAATTGAGGTTCTCCGAAGACTAGTCTGAATTGTGTTAATATTGGCGATCGCACTCAGATTCTGCTGGTCGAGACTGTTTTCAAACCCCGCGGGGGACTTTTTCTGTTACAGCCTCCCGTTCTCACAAACGAGGTCCTTCTCAAACCCCCTGTCCGAAACCAGTGACCTTATCTCAGACCTTCCCGGGGGAACGAAGGTCACTAAGGACCTGTGGGTCACCCCCCGCGCCTTCTTCCAGAAAACCTGCGAATCAAAGCATGCACAGGTCGACCACATAAGCGCGTTTTCTAGTGCGTCGTATAGCTGCCGAGTTCGCAAGGACACGCAAAACTGGCAAAATGCAAAGGAAAGACTTCCCTCAGAACATAGATAAATGTTCTTGCAGTATAGATACAATGGATAGCTTAAGCTTATTCGACATTACCACAATCCGAAATGGATATAATTGCAAAAATCAATAAATCAATATTTCTAGACTAGACTACGAATAGACTTCGTACAAAACTGAAATGTCCTAAATTAACTTTTCCTAATGATAGTATTTCTGTTTTCCTCTCTACTTAGGGCACTCCTCGAGAAAGCAAATCGGCTCTATAAAATGACCACAGGACTCCATTAGGGTCGTGAATGATGTTTGAAGTTTGATCTTTATAAAAGTAAATAAAATACGAGGAATTAGCAGATAGTCTTTACAAAGTCGAAAAAAATTGTGTCGCCTTAATTAAATGTTTGCCGAAAAAAATCCTACGAAGCTCTACTATTATAGTATTTATAGATATGGAGAACAAGTTTGCTGAATTTTTCTTGCGCATAGAATGAGAAATGGAGGTCAAAAATGGCAAACTCCGCCCCCAGCTCCTCCCACATATGATATACTGCAAGCCTTAGTAAGTATAACCTTAGAATGGCCCAGATGATAGAGGAATACCAAATTTAGAATAAAAAAGTTCGAAAAATGACATTCGCCTTTACGGGCTAGTTCCGTTTTATTGATTTTAGGTCGAAAAAAATCAGGAATGCATTTATACTACTATGATCTACTGCATGATGACCAAGTTGGAGCTCCGTAGAAATTCTGGGAGGAGATCGAATTTTCAATAGTTTAGAAATTTTGTGTACTGGTTACAAACTTTACTTATGTAGATTCAAATGGATTAATGATTTTGTACAGCTTGCTTTGCTCTATCGGGAAGTACCCTATGCCTGCCAGAAAAAAAAAACCGTTCGATTTATTTGGGAAGGGGTTTACTTTTGAACACTGGGATAATCACCCGTTTAGCTTATAAAAGTAGAAAATAAAGTGCGTCAAAAATTGAGGTTCTCCGAAGACTAGTCTGAATTGTGTTAATATGGGCGATCGCACTCAGATACTGCTGGTCGAGACTGTTTTCAAACCCCGCGGGGGACTTTTCTGTTACAGCCTCCCGTTCTCACGAACGAGGTCCTTCTCAAACCCTTTGCCGAACCAATAAAGCATGACCTTTTCTCAGACCTTCCCGGGGGAATGAAGGTCACCAAGGACCTGTGAGTCACCCCCCGCGCCATCTTCCGGAAAACCTGCAAACCAACACATGCACGGGTCGCCCACATTAGCGCGTTTTCTACTGCGTCGTATAACTAGCAGGTGCACTAGGACACGCAAAATGCGCAAATTAGATAGGAGATTCTCACTGGACTACAACATGTTTTTTACAGTACAAAAAAAAACGATAAAATGCTCCCTGTAAAATCCAAGAGTAATTTGAATAACTCAATTTGTGAGGTGAAGTACGTATGAAGTATGTAAGTAAGTATCAAGTACGCTCATGTACATACACCGTAATAGATAACACTCAGAAATATGGAGTAATACAGTCATATATCTACCTTATTTTTCAATTTTCAGCAAAATTACATGAGATATTTGAGATGAGCTGTGAAAACTAGTGACTGAACAATCTGGCATACGATGACGAGTAAAAAGAAACGAATGTGATGGTAGTTCATTAATACTTTAGTGGATGTCGAACCACTCCATAGATTTTTGGGTTGTTTCCTTTTTTTTCGTTGTTATTTTAATAGACAACAAAGCAAGCAGAAGAGCAACCAAAGAAAAATTAGAGGAACTTGGTGGAGCATTTCTTCTTTTTTTTACAGCTAAAGTTGAATAGAGAATTTGAGCAAAGTTCAAATTGTAGAAATTTGTAATCTGTCAACTTTTTTCTACAGCTAGGGCTGAAGAGAGAATCTGAGCAAACGTTCAAGTTGTAGAAATTTGTAGTTCAATTTTACATATTTTAAAATCCTCAATCTTTTTCTGCAATCGAATCACGCAAAACCAGCAGAGAACAGTTAGATAAAGTGAATCTTACACTTTGTATGCATTTTCAGAGCTTATACTTTAAGAATTTGTTAAAGAATTCTTTTCCCGGAATCTTGATTTTTGGATGATAAAACGAGTGGAAACAATTCTTTGAAAATTCAAAACCTTACGACTTTGATCTGCCTGCAGTAGAGTGAACAATTTTTTCAGCTAAAAAGCAATTTTTGCAGTTCATGATGCTGGATTATGATCCAGGTGAAATGATTTTGCAAAATACAAAAATCTGAGTTGACAAATCCAAACTAGAATTTTTTACCAGAAAGTTGGTATTAAGGGCTTCTATGAGCCTATCAAATCTGGATATCTTTCGCCTTTTCTCGCTCACTAACACTCCACAAGATGGAGTGATCCTTATAAGTAAGAAGATTGTTTTTGAGATGATGTGACAATCGGGGGGTTTAGAAGAAGACAGAGATGAAGAGAAACAAATCTATTTGCCTCTATGTAAAAAATTGTATAGAAAATGCCTGTTAATCGCCTTTTTTTCTAAAAATGGCATCTTTCCATTTACAAAAATAAATGAATATTCTAAACTTTGGAAAAAAAATTTAGGAAGAAAACTTGCGCTCATCAGTTTCTTGTATAGCAGAACATGATTATTCTCTGATAAAGTAGCAGCCGGAGGAAAAGGACTAAGCTCTTTCTTACATCAGCTTTTCGTTTATAATCTCGAAGATGGCCTTTTACCCCGAACAAGACCCGGATTCAAAGTTCTGTAAAACGCTCGGAGATAAAGTGCTGAGGCGGAATTTCAAACCCTTTTTACACAACCTGAAATCAACAAACACGAACTTTTTACGATTTGCGCGCTCACTGGAGGCGTAACCGTCTTCGGTGCTTGCGAAGCAAGCGAACGCAATCTGGATGGTGTGTCCCAGCCACATCGCAGCAGTTCTTCTCGCATTCCGGCTACGGTAGCACAGAGGAAGATCAGAAGAGCATCTATCCGTCGTCGAACCACAACATCTCGAACGTTGGATATCTGCCGCTGCAGTGACTGAAAAGCTACATTAAGATATATGGATGCATAGAGAATCGGAAAGTGTATATTATGAGGGACTGATAACTTTGATTACGTGACATCAAGATTTTTCCGAGATAAAAACAGAGTTAAAGAGCTTTAAGTGCAATCTAATCTTTGAAATATGAGAATCACGAGAAGAGAAAATGCGAAGTTTCCATTTGTTGGCGAAGAAAACTAGTCAAAAATATTAGGTTGGCAAAAGTTCTTCCTCACCAATTCCATAAATTCATAACTTTCTATTTTTGAGCCAATTTGCTTGCACTGGATTTTGTTTGGAAGATCCATCCAAACATCCTTTATAAGAGCATAAATTGCATAGATAGAAGCTGTAGAAAAAAAGTAATCACTGATTCTTCTGGGTTCGTCAGTAAAAAAGCATGCAATAAAAACGGAGCAATCGGTACCATTTGTTTCCTTACACACTCTTTCTAAAGAGAAAGGTTTGTGCTAATCGAATTTCTCATAATAAGTCATGATTTTTGAGCGAGCAATTAAACAGCAAATTCAATTCTAAGGCTTTTTTTTCGGAAATCATGATTTTTCATAGAGACGCTCAGTCAGCACAATCTTAGAAAAAGCAGGTATTGATACCTATCACACCGACTGCTCAGATTCTTACTGCAAGTTTCAGAGTTTTTCCAGCCAACACAAAAAAATCAAAATTTCGATAATTTTCCTCTACCTTCTCTCCATATGCAAAGTATGCCTTTTTGAAGGACTTGATTTGCTCCTTCAAAAAAGAACCGGTACAATCCACTCGAATAGAAAGTTATGAGTTTATGAAAATGGTCCGAACCAACTTTCGTGCCAACCTAATAATCGCTTAGGACTTTTATAGGTTTTTGTACTATGCTTCGCGTGCACAACAGCTGCAGCTTCTGCATCGAATATACTATCTTTTATGTTATGCGCAATGATTGTATGCTTCAGGTTGTCTCAAAAATGAATTTTGATGCTTTCACTTTCATCTAGCAAAACTCAATCGAGTTCTCCCCACGCGGGTGTAAAACAGCGTAGCTTTCCATAGCTTTCCGGCTCTCAGAAATCTCTCAATAAAAGTTGTACCACCCTTTTTTCCTTACAAGAATTATAGGCACAAAGTAGCCATTTCCCAACGCAATGTCACATAGGTGATGCTTGAAGGTAACTGATGAAAACAGTAAGGTGCTTGTTCAACTGCTTTCAAGAAGATGGACATTTTGGAAGGAGAGGAGTAAAAGAGGCAACAAAACATTATGCATGTATCCACAAAGATTATAAAATCAATGTACAACAAGTACAATTACTTTCAACATGCGGAAGGGAAAAACTCAAAGGAGAAAATCCTTCAAATCCTTTCAGATTTCTAATGAAGAAGAAAATGATGTGAATCGGAAAAATCGTTGAAGTAGAAGAGAAATGCTGCATGGCAGAAAAGTAGGTTGTAAAAGGCGAAAAAAGAGAATATAGAAAGAGAGTTTCAGAATAATGCATGCCAAGCTTGGCTAAAAAACTAAAGGTTTCCTAAGGAGTAAGAATAAGAAAGAGCAAAAAAGACAAGATGTGATATCTTCGAGAAATGGGTGAAATTGAACATCGCTTTATACAAAGGATATAGTGAGGATCACGAAGTAGATTATATCTCGTACGAATGAGGATCAAAAAAATGGGAAGGGGACCCAACTTACCTTGATGAACCGTTGCTGTATAATCTTTTCCAGCAAACGCTGTCGTACTGAGGAAGCACGACCTTCCAACACATCCTTAGCTACATTTTCAGAACGGAATGCTACCTAAAATCCGGTTCAATTCTCCAGAGGTCACAGACGAAGATAATGGAGCAAAACAACTTACTTGCAGCTGACCACTTGTTCTCGTAACGGCACGCTGTCTCCACACTCGCAAGCGGCGGAATTTAGATGTGTCGTCAGTAAGAAGCTGTAGAAAAGAGAAATGTAGACAATTTATTCCCTGCAAAGTAAAGGTTTTGGAAGATCTACCTTCTGGTCCGGTATAAACTCCTTTGCACCGATCGGTACAGGAGGCATCGGCGAGGGTACGTTGAGAGCCAGATAGTAACCATTTAGCTCTTTCTTGTCGATCAGTACGAGGGGTGATGTACTTGTGGGCAGTGTAATCTAGATTTTTTAGATCTACAAAAGCTGGGAATACTGACAGCACACACCTGTTTGAGCAGATCTAAAGCTGTATCCATTGCTCCATTAGCGAAATGAAAACGGAGCAGTTCAAATCGACACTAAACACAAATAATATGACTAACTTCTTCAGTAAATCAAAATATTGACGATTTATATGTACTTCATGTCCGGAAATCTTCCAAAACAGATAAGCAACATTCATAAACAAGCACTTACTGCGCTAACAATTTCAGCTCCTGGTAAAGTAACTGTAGACAAGGTAAAGACCGGGCGTGGTGCCCACATACATAATAAGTTCATGCCAGCGATACCAACTCCAAGAGACATGCCTCCTTTCTAGAGGAAAAGAGCATAGATTTGAAGAGTACAAGAAAAATCAAACTAACCTCCAAAAATGGCGTAAGAAAGCAGTTTACTCCAGGCACACTCAGATCTTTGCCTTCCGCAATGAACTTCTCCAATGAGGAAATGACTTGCGGAAACCACGTCCGCGTATCTACCACCATTTTCCGAATATTCTCATGTTTCGTCAATTGCAGGTCGGGAACTAGCAATCTGTATAAAAGTGATTGAAATTATAGCTAGAAGTTTTGGATAAATCTATAGCAGAATGTTTAACCTACGGATTATTTACGGTTTGCTTTGCCGGAGGAGGTGGTAAACGATAGCGACGATCTACTGCCATAGCCCACTTGGCGAAAAGATACTCAGCGAACTAAAAATAGCTGGTATAGAGAGCCTTCAGTGAGTTCAGAAACATGGTACTTCCCAAGAGAAATTAGTAGGGGAAAAACTGATAAAAGTTAAACAAAGTAAAGAAAAACAGGCAAATACCTGAGCGTCCGAAGGCGTTTCACTGCTCCGACATAACCCCAATAGATTCTCTATCAATATCCGAACAGATAAAATCTCGTTACTGAAAAGGATATAATAGTAGTCGAAACTATATGATTTGAAACAACTTACTATTTATCAATAAGAAATTCTATATCCCATTCAATGTAGGCGAAACACGCCATGGCGCACAATATGAGACAGGCTGCTTTTCTTTCAGCAAACTGTACATCTTCTGAAAAAAGAAGAAGCAAGTAGATGCAGCATAACTATTAATTGAAAAGCCTCAAAAATGCTCGTACCATTCGAAAAACCTTTGGCCATCATCATTTCACCCTCCTTCTGTGTAGAAGCAGCTTGTTCAGCGAACTGTATGGCTAATCGTCCGACAGTTTCTACAAACAAGCTCGTTTCAAGTCATGTGAGAGAACTTGAACGGACGAACCTTGATTGCCTGGTTTGGCAAGCAATTCTGAGAGTTTCGAGGCATCTACAAAGTAATCAAACCAATTCTGTGCCGGTGGTCCCCAATATTCATTGAGGTTTTGTATTGTGTCCACTATTTCCATTCTGGAAAATCTATGTTTATGGCTATGTAAAGTCGAGAGCCACCCATACTGCGCTGTAGAACCTCAGAAAAAGATCCAATTTCTCTACAAAATTTTTCCACTTCATCGCATAGGCTTGAACAACCATAAGGCAAAAAATGCAAGAAGGACTCGTTATTAACACCACCACAAGGCCGATTTTTCGATCACTACCGTTTCGGATTAAAGCCTATTTCGCTCTGTCAAACTTACGACCCACCGGTGGGCCGTATCGTCCGAAATGGCAAAACACGTACGACCCACCCGTGGCTCGTATTGTCGTGAATGTGTTAAGACAGAACTCTACTACTCTAGCAAGTTAAGTTACTAGCACCGTTCTTTGCTATTATCAACAAAAGCTTGGAGAAAAGACTCCTGGCCAAGATAAGTCATTCCTTTGCTATCAAGGAAGATGACTAAAAGACTCGCTCGAAGTTTCGAATCGTGCTGTCTTTCACACTATTCATAACGCTTTGAGGTGTTTGGTTTATTCATCAACGCAGATAATTCACGCAGCTGCACTGTGGCGGAGCGTTTTGGCACCTTTTTTCGTTGACTCGATAGCGTTGCGTCATAAAGTGATATTATCATTTATTTTGAGTTCTAATTCCTCATGAACAAGTAAATGCTCCCTTTTGAACTTTTTTCCAATGCCCACCAGCACCCGACACCAGAGCTCCTTGAAACTACTACGCCGTTAAGCAGATGATCGCTCCCGCAACATTCTGTTTACTCATACATAGATCACGTGATGTTTCCAAACAAAACCGAAAGTTTGCGCAGGAACGAGGAAATCGAATGCGCTTCGACCAGTGCGATAATATATTGTTACACTTAGTATTATGCCTCACTTCGTGCCTACGCTTAACAGGTGAAAACTATCTTATTGTTAGTTATTGAATGTGAGCTGAAATGAAGAAAGTACAAGTTCAGGTCGTCATAAAATCTTGTCCCTAGCACTTCAAGTTCATAAGTGGATGATATATTCCGATTTCAGCACACTCGCAGGTCCCACGCGTATACTTCGTGCCCGGGAAATGCTCTCATAGCCACGCGCATGCCATTTGCGCTAGTTTGGCGCGTTTTGCTAAGGCTCCCGCCAGAGTGCCGAAGCCATGCCAGCGCCGAGCCAGCGTTTCGATCGATACACGTGTATTTCGTTGGGGACATCTACCTGCTGAGAACTAGGTCAGCTAGCCCCGCCCCAAAATACACGTGTATCGATCGAAACGCTGGCTCGGCGCTGGCGTAGCGCCGGCATGGCTTCGGCACTCTGGCGGGAGCCTAAGCATCCTTTTCGCCAGCGCTCAACGGCATGCAGGAGGGAATGCACCGAGAAAGCACAGAGAGGATTACTCCAAGACACGAACTATACGCAATCTGTTTTAAGCATTAAAACAAATAAAAATACTTGAGCGTAAGTTCTAGCTTTTTGGGGAGGAGCTCCTTCTTAGAACACACATTGAATTTAAAGCAGGAATGTATATAATTATGGTATCTCGATGCAACCAAACTCCCTAAATAGAGTGCATGTCTTCTCATTCATTCAATAATTACATATTTATCCATCACATCTTCGGAATAACGCCGGTACATAAATTGCGTGTTATGTATACGTTACAGTACATTTGCACAAACAATGGTATCACTTCCTATTAACATGACCAGAAAAGCGATCTCGAATAAATGCATCTATGTAAATATGAAAGGATAACGTGAAGACTATTGAGGATCTAGTCGGGAATGGCGACTGTTGCAATGGCACTCTACATTCGTTATACGACAAAATATTTAGATTTTAAGCACACAAGCAAAAAAGAATCAAGAAAAAGAAAACGAGTTGTAAAGCAAAGCGGTCAATGCTGGAATCATACAAAAAAAACTTTCAAATAATAATGATGATTAGGTCTGAAGATAAGACGTGCCTACGAATAAAATGCGAGCAAAACAGCAAAAAAAACAAAACAACAAACAACATAAAAATCAAGCGAGGCTCCTCCCTTACTAGCATTCATCAACGCTATCGGTGACGGCCGAGTAAGAACAGTTTTGCGTATCATGGATCTTCTTTATCAGTTTCACCACGTTCATAGTTGGGACTAAAAAAAACATTTACTTACAAATCTGAGTGTTATTCCGCTGGCTGATGAAACTACAGATGCACAATCACTGCTCTCAAACGAAGTTGATTCAAAAGGTAACAGTGATGTTTCAACTCAAATCTGATGACTAATAAACGACTTACAAAATCCAAGCCCCTGCAGGAAAAGCATTAAGCTCTCGGTGACTACTTCTGGGCGGTCATCCAAAACAAGTCCGCAGGCATCGGAGACCTGGAGATAATCGTGTTAGCCAATAACACTCAATCAGACATTCGATAAGCTAATAGACAAGCGATATTCTTCCGTTCATTGCTTACATCCCCATATATCATCAAGTACTACAGATTACCGGCGTGGAGAAAAAAAATACAAGATATCCTTTTCTAGAAAACTACAAAATCTCACGATTAACGATAAGTTTTTGTGGGAAAAAACTTGTTTTATAGACAGTTACAAAATGCCTATATCTTATCCTTGAACAAAAGATGCCTAGATACGAAATGCCTATTCAAAAAAGCGACCAAACTCTGCTTATCTCCAAAAAGATGTCGTTTGAGAGAGAAACTGGTGCCGGGTAAGCCATGTTTCAAACGAAGTCTACACACCTTAATCCAGTCAGAGTGCGCAGGATCCAATTTCGTATTCACATCAACTGTGTCGTTAACGAACGGGCTTCCAGCGCCTACTATCTGAAGAACTGGTACATTTAGCTGTAAACCAGTCTGTCCGTCTCTCGAGATTGAAATGGCCGAACGGCTGAAATAAATTGCATAAAAAGAAGTAATATGATCAATTCTACAAAAATGAAGAGAACAAAGGTTGATTTGGCAAGCTACGGCCTATGGTGAAAGGTTACACTAACAGATCTAGGCTCTAATGACAATAAGAACTTCAAAAAAGTGAAAGCTAAGCCGTGCATCTCATTTTCAAGCAATCATACCTCGTAAAAATGACAAAAATGAAATTGATTCACTCACTTGACGTATGATTCTATAAATGAGGCCAAATTCGTAGGATTTGGGAGATGTTGGAAGTAAACACGGTACTGGCGGACGATGTCTGGACTGCATTCATCCAAACGACGGCCGAAGTGATGCCACATCAGATAATCAACCGTGAACGTATTCATTCCCGAGGTGCGCAGATATCTCAGATTCATCTAAAAAATACTTTCGAACTGTGCGATGGAAAATAAAGAAATCAATGAGGCGGCAAAACCTTTTGGTAAGCCCATTCAATCCATCCCGCGGTATTTGCAACACAGTTGACAAGAATCAATGCATCAAGGCGACGCTGATTGAGAAGCTGCAAAACAAAGAATGAGCCAGCCCAAAAATGTGCTAATACCGGTCGTCACGCATTTATCCTAAACATTACATAAGATTTGCAGTGAGAAATTCATTAATCACATCTTTGAGAAAACAAAGCAAACTTTTGCTAAAGGTTAAGAGCAAAACACCGAAAACAACACTTTTACGAGCCTTTAACATACAAATGAGTCCAAAGAAATCATAGTTGCAGGAAAAACAACACAAAGATGATGACAGAGATCACAAATGTGAGACTCACCGCGTATCTGAGCAAAACATTCGCCCCAACGCCAACACCAAAAGCAATCAGGGAATGTAATCTGAAATAATATTGTTGTCATAACTCAATAAACTGGAGAATTAGTATAGAAAGCACTAGGAAATCGATGAAATGACTGACTCAAAATGTTCAACGACATTTTCAACGATCCTTGCTAATTCGTCCATTGAAGGATAGACATAGCTAAAACAAGACGAGATAATATGAGTGTAACAGCATGAATAAAGTGGACTCACTTCTCTGGCAAAGGTGGCGCATCCACTTCTTGTCCGGGAGCATTGATATTGTAAATGCAAAACTTCTCCGTAAATTCGGCAATTGAAACGAATTGGAAGAAATTTTGGAAGTTACTTTCAGCTGAAAGAGTTGATTATGAGAATAAACGCGAGAAAAAAAAAACAAAAATTCGTGACGAATTCTTACAATCAAGTGCGAGATCATGGAACGTCACAAGCGGATGTTTCTCTCGGTCACCATAGATGGTTACCTTTATCTTTCCATAGTCCGTGTCGATCCTTTCCTAGAAACAAAAAAATGTGGATCAAATTGATAGGCCAGCAGATCAAAATGTTCCACAAGGTGGGATCTTGCTTTGCAAAGACAATTTATTAACGCTGTGTCACAAGGTAAAAAGCAATTTCGCACAAAAGAATAAGCCTTATTGTAAACCTGCTTCCAGCTGCCTCCTTTGATGATCATCATATCATAAAAATAAATCTGCATGAAAACCCACTGAAATTTACTTTTTACAGTAAACGGCTATGTCAGCTATCTCGCTTGTATTTTCCTCGTCATAAGTTTATGCCAATACGAGAAAAAAGATGATGTTTGGTTACGCCATTTGCTGTTTATGAGACTGCGCTGTATTGTTCTCATGAATAAATCTCATAAACCTCATCGACATTCTTGTCGTTAGCCCATCCATAACTAATAACGCATGACTCTTGACACGCAATCTCTTTAGAAAAACAATAGTTCTCGTTATATTCACATGTTTGTTTCGTCAACAAAAGATTCAAACAATCAAAACGCCATTCTATCGAGCGAAGCACATGACGCTCAATTACATTCTGGGACGATTAACAACATGTAATTGGTGTCATGCATGCCTTAGGAATACAGATACTAAGTGAATGACGTTAGAAAATATGTTTGTCGCAAATCTCTGTTGGTGCTACTACTCAAAAGAATTATGATGATCCACCTAAGATCCAACAAAAAAGTTGCTTGCGCAAAAACCTACAAAAAAAGACGGGAGACGATCAATAGGCGCGATTTCTATGTAAATCATCAACTCAAAAGCCCAGTTCAGTATTACGCAGATCTTCAAAAAATACCGAACTGAGTGCTTTGGTTTAGTAGCTGTTTGAAACTGTCACTTGCTGAGTCTGACTATGATGTAAAACTGAATACCTTTCCACGAATTTGATTTTAGATGATTTTCAAAGGTTACTGAGCCTCAATAATTATATTTTAGATTTATTTTGCGGTAATAAGCTCCAACAACCCATCTACTAACTACTACATCTTCTTATGAGTTTCAATGCGTCTGAAGCACTGTAAAACACTAATCATATACTATTTGCTGTCCAGCTAAGGCCCTGGCCAGACTTCGCTCAAAAGCGCCCAAAAGCGCTCAAAAGCGCGCAAAAGCGCCCAAATTTCTCTGGTGTCTCTTCACCTTCTCGTGTGAGGAGAGATGAGAGAGAGTGAGGAGAGGTTAGAGAAGTTTGGGCGCTTTTGGGCGCTTTTGAGCGCTTTTGGGCGCTTTTGAGCGAAGTCTGGCCAGGACCTAACAATAAAAATGACGCCTCTTGACAACAAGAAAGACACCGAGGATTGATAACATGTCCTTCTAGTAAACATTCCTGTGTTCTTTCCAAGATCAAAATAAAGCGAAAACGAATTCGTAAGCAAGAAAAAGGACAGTCAACAAAACAAGACAGAAAAACACGAACCTCTTGCATATCGGGAAGCGTATTGTCAACTAATGGCTGGGTGTCCTGATCGAATGAGTGCATTTCCATTGCAGACATTCTCCTAGATATGACAATCTAATAAATGAAACTATGAATTCATAATAAGCGAGAATAAAGCACAATACAAAAGCGACGCACATTACAAAAGCACTGAGAAAAGTTGCAGTTCAACCGCCAACTACTCTCAAAAGCTTCAAAACATATGAGTGGAACTGAAACAACCCATGTATACCAATTCTCAAACATTTCGAAACATACAAAGGAAACACACGCATTTCTTGCTCATCGGAATGGAACGCGGAGAGGAGAGGCGGGCATCGATTCGCGAAGTTAACTGTTTGTTTTAACGATTACGGTGGGAACGGGAGCCGTTGTGCAATTGCGAAACGTAAATTAGACGTCAAAGATATGCAGGAGTGTGGGGGGATGGGGGGGGGGGGAGGAGGGGGTAATCTGAGTGCCCGGAAGTAGGAGGTTTACATTTGATGACTGCTATTTTGGATCTCGGAAAAAAATAAAAAATTCAAATAATATTGAACCGATTCGACGACTAGCATCCATGACATGATCTATCTATACGTATCATACAGTCGGGTGTGGTGCGGAAGGCGACAAAACCCAGCGGAGGCGAGGGAACGATGGCCACGCCTCCCATTTGCCTGCTGTTTAGTGCTGGCCTCGAGTCAATTAGTCAGATTGACGCTCTTGTGGCGCATAGGTTGGCACCTGGATGGTGGCGGTGCCCTCTTCGACTACTCTGCTTTGTCCATAAGAGTTCGTTGTGTAAAATTGGTAGATGTGATCACTCAGTGTATAAGGAAAGTTACGTAACGCAAGTTGTAGACTCGTAGATTGTTTGCTGATAGCTAACTGATTGAGTGTGAGATTTGGCAGCGAAATTCGATTTCGGTCATCATCTAACTCACGCATATGATCAGTTGCCAGGTTCGCGTGGAGGTGTGTTGCAGACTTTGTTTGGTAACAAGGATAAACTTGTTGAACCTCCATGTTATAGCATTGCTTTTCGTACTCTCTCGCTAGCAAAAACCGCCCCGCTGTGAGATGGCAAGACTCCGCCTCCACACCTCTACGAATCTGGAAGCCGATGACATTTCGATTAGCTTCTGCATTGAATAAGAATAACGGAATTGCATCAGTTCTATGCAGTTATGTAGCTATCATTCGGATAGAGATGAATCAAACACAATAAATGCTGCAAAGCAGTTTTCTTTCGAGTCTCAAAGTAAGAAGAATCCTCATTTTCAGGCAAAATGTCAAATTCAATTTGTATCCAGCCGGACCTCGAACTCAATATAGCCGCGATATCTTTCAGAATTTAGCCTTTGTCAATACTTAAGTTCATCTTATTTTTTCTGCTCACTATTCTTCGTTTGACAGGGCAGAAAGAAAAACAACTTTATTCGCAACAAAATCGCACCAGATATAGGACAAAAAGAGAAAATGATAATATCACTCAGCAATGTAGAGTACAACTTCACCTCAAGAGCAAGAAATCCCTGTACAAAGTTTCCAAAGTACTTTTGTAAGTCTATTTGTTCCACATAGTCATTATCGACAACGGTATCAGGAACCGTTATGTACACAGAAATACTGCTTACAAGTCAATGAAGTCATGTTAAGTCTAACCATTTCTTCAAGAAAAGGCAAGAACCTAGGACCGTTAGGATAGCTAAAATAAATAAAAAACATATGAATACACAAAAGTTAAACTTAAGTAGAATTTGGTTTTGATAACTCGAGTGTAAGTAGCAGAGTTTACACAATGCTCACGTCAATGGCCCTTGAGCTCTCCTCTGTTCGATTGCACTTAGGCGTGAGATCCATCCTTCAAAAAAAAAAACGATCGGCGAAGTTCAAGCAGAACGAATGAGTGAGAGCCCTTACCTCATAAGTCCATAGCAATGGCGCACGAAGTTGAAAGCGATCTTCCTCGAATATCTCAACTAAAATGGAATGATTAAGTCGCGCAAACATTTTGATGATAACGAAAAGGCTAGCTAATAGGGGGGAGGACATTCATAAGGTGATATCTAAATAAATGATGAAATGGAAAAGTAGAGCACAGAACACAAGAAAGGTCACACCTCTGATGAGTCAGGTGACGACTCCTCTTGCTCGCTTATACAGTGAACGCCAAAAAGTTGCGGACAAGCCTCCCTCCCTTTTTCATCGCTCTTTTTCAGAAGGAAAACAGGGATGAAAAAATGTAATAATTGCATGAGGTGATAGAGCTCTTCAAGATCTACAATCTACACTTTGAGCTCTTTGAGAAACATGTGTTCTAAAAATTTTAAGAATCCTTTTCTAAGAAAAGTCCGAAAATGGCCGCGTCACAATGTCGCGGACAATAATTCTTCGAACGCAAAAATTTTCCTTTTAGTGCTATCTTGAAGCGAAAACACAGGTTATCCGGACGGGTAAGCATACTACTATACAGAGCTCGTCAAGAACTACACACTGGTTATGGTTGCTTCCCCAAAAAACGCAAGCTTGAGTTTTATTTTGCTTTTTTTCAAAAAATAACTTCTAATTTCCTTTATCAAGCCAAATTTCTTCACACGGAAACCTGTTCAAGACATCCCAGCAAAGCCGTCTGGATAAAATAGATGCTCTTTGCCATCCTCTATGCATCGGGCATGTGCTGATGAGTTTCTCTGCTAAAAATGGCCCTTGGCAGTGCTTGCACATGACCCTACCTGCACTCGACCACTGACTTGTACCGCTTTGCAGGCTTGTAACTCGGCCTGCAGTCAACATTTGAGCCTGCAATTAGGCTCATGCGAAAGAACGAGACTTCCTTATACGATGACATGCAAACGAGTTGATTTTAAGAAATTTCAGAGATTTGGCGGATGGGGTGAAAAAGAGCAGCTTCAGAGGTGATTGGAGTGAAAGCTCTTATGAACACCAGAACAGTCTTAGAGCCTCGAAATGGATCTATTACAAGAAAACTGACAGTTTTGAACTTCCAGGATGAAATTGGTAGCGAAAGGAGCTCTCTTCAACTTTAGCTGAAAAGTGCTTAGACTACGACTAAAGCTGCCCTCTACTACCCCATCCGCCAAATCTCTGAAATTTCTTAAACTCAACTCTTTTGCACATCTTCGTATAGAGGAAGTCTCGTTCTTTCGAATGAGCCTAATTGCAGGCTCAAATATTGACTGCAGGCCAAGTTACAAGCCTGCAAAGCGGTACAAGTAGTGGTGAGGTGCAGGTAGGGTCATGTGCAAGCACTGCCAAGGCCCATTTTCAGCAGAGAAACTCATCAGCACATGCCCGATGCATAGAGGATGGCAAAGAGCATCTATTTTATCCAGACGGCTTTGCTGGGATGTCTTGAACAGGTTTCCGCGTGAAGAAATTTGGCTTGATAAAGGAAATTAGAAGTTATTTTTTGGAAAAAGCAAAATAAAACTCAAGCTTGCATTTTTTGGGGAAGCAACCATAACCAGTGTGTAGTTCTTGACGAGCTCTGTATAGTAGTATGCTTACCCGTTCGGATAACTTGTGTTTCCGCTTTAAAATAAGACTCCAAAGAAAATTTTTGCGTTCGAAGTATTATTGTCCGCGACATTGTGACGCGGCCATTTTCGGACTTTTCTTAGAAAAGGATTCTTAAAATTTTTAGAACACATGTTTTTCAGAAAGCTCAAAGTGTAGACTGTAGATCTTGAAGAGCTCTATCACCTCATGCAATTATTGCATTTTTTCATCCTGGTTTTCCCTCTGAAAAAGAGCGATGGAAAAGGGAGGGAGGCTTGTCCGCAACTTTTTGGCGGTCACTGTATGTGCAACTACATGAAGGAACTCCCGCATCAGTGATACATCTCATACCCCTATAAGCAGATATGTTCACACAAAAGGTGAAAAATATAGAACCGTAAAGGATAGACAAGAACAGAGACAAAAATGTATCACACAAGAACCGAAACATGTAGAAAGCGTGCAGACGCGCTCCAGTACAAAGATTGGAAGGACGAGTGTTGACGAGAACTCGGACAGGGCGTGGCCACTAGTCGTGCCTGTTCCAGGGCAATTGTCGCCTTCCGCGTGTTCCCCCATACAGTCGAGTGGTTTCTATACTAACGTGTGCAATTGCACTACTTCCAGGGTGATGACGATGGAATGCCGGCCTTTTAGGTTAAAAAAAAGCAAAAGAATTGATCATTCATGCTTACGCAAACGAGATAGTACTCACACAGAGAGAAAATCATGAAAAACTATCTATCGATCTACATTCTGAGACTGGAAAACTCAAGTACGCTTTGCACACATTGTCTAAACATGTCTTAACATATTTTCTCTTGATTCAAATAAGTAAATAATCCTAAACGAGCCGAATCACAAGTACAAACTTGTCAACACACGATCAAGCTTGTTTAGACGATGTGTGCGAATCGTACTCGAGTCTCCTAGCCTCGAAACGACAGGTTTTATTATATTATCGACTTCATCTTGAAGAATTTGCACTTGCGCACATTGCGAAGAGACCTAGTCGGCTACCGCGAGCATTTCATACGTGCACTAATTTTCAATTGCAATAATTTCCTATTTAGAATTGGAAAACATGTATTTTTCACTGTGGCACCTGCCATACTTGACCCTCTTGATCCGCTTGATCCGCTTCGTGCAAAACGCGCGCACACAGCAGCTTGTCATTTGGCGCCGCGTAGGTAAAAAGGAAGTTTGTATGGTTACGGCAAATACGCTGTACGCGATGCTAAATGACAAACTAGGACGCGCGTTTTGCACGAAGCAGATCAAGCGGATCAAGCGGATCAAATAGATCAAGCGGATCAAATGGATCAAGCGGATCAAAGGAATAAAGTATGGCAGGTGCCTAAGAGCTAACATAGCAAAAAAAACTGATCGGGTGATACCGGAAATCCATTTGGTTACTTTCATGAGAACACGTCAGGCTCGGACAGACTTCACGCGATTTGATCGTCGCGACTCAGTCGCCGACATTTCGATTCATTTTCATTTCACATTCAAGAATTTCGGGCTGGAAAAGTATCACAACCGAAATGCAAGTTGATCGGCATGAAATGATGTTGTAACAGTTGTCTCGTCGCGATTCAGTCGCGACGATCAAATCGCGTGAAGTCTGGCCGGGGCCTCATGCAGCTAATATAGGCGCAGAAGTGGGTGGTTACTGATATATCAGTATTTAACATGATGAGACTAGACGCAACAAAATGATTACGATCAAGATAACTACAGAACTAATTTAAGGTCAAATAAGTTCCGTAGATATGGAATAACGGCTCATCGTCCTGCGTGACTTCAAAGCGCGCAATCAGAAAGAAATAAAAGCATTGCTTGGCATGTTTTAACCGAAAACTTCTTTCTACGAAAGACCAACAAACTAACAATGTAATTCAATTGCCCTCCGCTATTTATGTAGAGACTATGGTATAGATTGATGGGATTTTGAACTCGTAAAATATGACATGCGCGACTCTGATGCTCCAAGATCGGGTGAGCTGACTAAATAAATGGGGGCAAGCGGTCATGTGAATTTGTTAGCCGGCAGCGGTTTGCCATCGAAAGTGCAAGAACGTGACTAGAATGTTTATCTCAGACTGCGGGATGTCATCTGGGCATCCTCTGGGAATAACAATTTGCACTTTCAGAGGGCATCTCGCATAGAAAACATTTATCAACGTCATGCTAAGAAAATGCTGGAAACTCCCACATCTTATGATGATATTCTTAGCTGCTGATGCATTTAGGAACGCGGAAAAGAAGGGGGGGGGAGGCAAGCTGCTTCGCTATCAAGCATATTCTCATCATCCTATGACTTTTGCATGATTCACCTACATACATTCGATCAACAAAGCTATATTGTCGAGTCATTTGTAACCTGTCATGTGTATTGCACGCCATGTGCACCACTTGACGACTTGTAGGATTACAACCTATTCAATTACACTGATTTCTTCCCTTTCCTTCTTTTTTTTGAATTGATTGGGGATTCAACAGTTGGTATTACACAATTCCGCACTTTGTTACACTAGAAAAGGTCACCGAGGAGTCACTAGTGGGGTGTCGTCGGTTGCGGCGCATGGTGTGCAGACTCACATATTGAGTTACAAAAGACTCAAGTTATCCTTACAAAACTGGATGAAGTGAAGTCTTGGCATGGATGTACACTTCGTTAGGAGTTGAAACTGATCTGACTAGCTACTCCAATCTCTTTTTTTTTTGGTTTTAGAAAATTTCTTTACAAAGATTCTTTACAAGAACCATTACATTAATGAGAGTGTATGGATCTAATTAGATCTGCTTGCGTAAGTGCGAGCGCATATACGTCAATTCCAGACAAAAGCGCACGCGTACGCGGTGCTTCGCTTATATGTAAATTGACCAATCATGAAGCGGCTAAGCTGCTAAGCGGCTGAGCGGATAAGTCTGGCGCTTACTGGCGAAGACATCGAGTCGCTTCGAGCATCCTTCATCATTAGGGCGCGCAGCCTCGCTTATAAGGGCAGCCGCCTTCCAACTTTCAGATACATTCTAGAAATTTCTTTTTGAGAATTGGTTTGAAAGGTGTTCACTTGGTTTTCCATTCAGCTGGTGCTACCATTTTGTTGTTGCTGAATCACCCTGGATACGAATTAGCCAAAGGTATTTCCATCCACATTCCTATATGTAATCTTTCTACCAGTTCCTGTGGAGATCTTGCGATAACATGAAATCTTGTTACTAAAAACAACACATGCTTGAGTGCGATAGAATCTTTATTAATGGCGTGAGGTTTAATAACCAGGGGCAAGACGAGCAGGTGGGCAATGATCGCAGCTTCCGGGTGATCCGTTGTCTCCCGCGTTTCCTGGTGGCCCGGCTGGTCCGGGTGGTCCAGGTGGTCCACGTTGACCTGAAGTACAAAGAAGATAGATGGCAAGCATTTCTCAAGAAAAAATAAATAAAATACCCACCAGGTTCTCCAACAGGTCCAGTTTGTCCGTTGTCGCCGTCTCTTCCTGGAGCTCCAGCTTTGCCAGGTTGTCCAGGAGCTCCTGGTCGTCCAGGAGGTCCTGGAGGTCCCTGTGGGGCTGGACCACCAGGGACCAGTATTCCCGGCTCTCCAGGTGGTCCACGCTGTCCTGGCTGTCCAGGTGGACCAGGAGGTCCGGGTGGTCCAGGTGGGCCCTGTGAACCTGGAGCTCCATCCAATCCATTGCCTCCGGGCGCTCCGGGAGATCCATCTTGTCCTGGTGGTCCGGGTGGTCCTGCCATTCCAGGAGCAGCCATGCAGGGGCACTGGGGTGGTACGGGTAGAAGACGATCGTGCAGTTCTGCATCAGGTCCTGGAGGTCCAGGCTCGCCGGGGCCAGCACCGGGAGCTCCGTCTTTGCCATCAGCTCCGGGAGGTCCATCGGGACCAGGTGGTCCCTGCTGACATGTGCAGCACTGGGCTTCTGCCTGACGAGTGGCACGGAGAAGGACGTCTAGTGAATCTTCTCCACCTTCGGGTGACACCTCGACCATCTCACGCCACATGTCTCGCGAACGGGACTTACAGTATTCTACTTCACCCTGAATTAGGCAAAATCAATTCCACTTGAGACTTCCAGGCGTCAGAAACATTTTACCTGTACTGTAGCCTGCAGTGTCTGGACATAATGGAATACTAGAGGGAATGTGACCAGACAGGCTGAAACGGCTACGGTGGAGAAGACGACAGCGGCGAAGGCTACTCCCCTCAATGAGTCCTTCTTCTCGTCCATTTTCTGCAAATGTTCGTAATTTACCACACAGTATGAAAGAAGCGCCGTAAATCGCGATGTAAATCAAGCGAATGCCTCGTAAGGAATCTGTGAAGAGCCATCTACAAAGGGTGAGACCTTGTGAGTCCACAGACCGGTTGGCTACGATAAACTAGTCCTCGTAAGGACGTCACTTCAAGTAGTCAAAAGGGGAACTGTGCGCGCGAGAAGACTTGTAAGACTTCTTTTTTTGCAGACTTTAATGTCCATTCAAAGTAAAAACGACCTTTGCAAAGCGTTGCAGCAGTGAACAATAGGACAGGTTTGAGGAAAAAAATTTGAACGAGTTTGCTTTTTTCGACTCCTTTCGCATCCGTAAAATCGTCAGATTTCATTTTCGAGAGAGTTGTGAGAGATATTTTCTATGTTTGGTTTCGACAGTCTCGTTTTGATAATACACAAACGATTAGCTCAATGATTTCAAATAACTAGATCACCTTTCTGAGGGAAAAGAGGGCAAATATTTCTCGACAAATCGCCTTCTGCTAATTCAAGCAGTGATTAAGACAGGATGGGGGAAAAGGAATTCTCAAGTAAGTCTGCGCTTCCTCGGACTACTATTCCTTACATGGTGTGCAGTAGAGCGTACGAAAGGACCAGTTGTCAGCGAGGAGGCGCATATTGTCGGACTTCGTCCGACTTTCTTGAGCAAAAAGGTGTAAGAAAATCAAATATCAAGAAGTTTTCATTGCTCAATTTTGGCATTTTTGATTCACCCACATGTTAATAATTTTACTTATGCGTGAAACTATAGAAAAAGGTCTTTACTATTTGCATAATTTCTGCTTTAAAACCTTGAACATTGTTTTCCTTGGAATTTGCACGCTGAGCTAAAAAGAAAGGCAATGGAGCAGGTTTCTAGGCGGGTATGAATGCTGCTACCGTAATCCTACCGTAGTGCAGCATCATGAGCCGCGCGCAGAACCCAAATGGGGTTTTGGAATTTTTCATATCATTCTCTTCAACGTTAATTGGTAAAATAGGATAAAAATTTTGAATTACAAAGACATAATTTTTACCATGAATTACTATGCTCATATAATCGCTGCTAGTCTACAAGTAAATTTCTCTCAGGTAAGCCCTGGTAAAAATATCGCTGGCAAATGTAAGCGTAATCTAATATATAAGGAATCGTTAACTCAATTCAAAAATCTGCAAATAGCGGGAAACCGGGTGGCGGTCCCGAAGCGAACGCTCTTCCAAGTAGCACCTTTAGATTACTGGTTCACTAATTTATTTGTGAGAAATGCTTATTTTGTCAATAGGAAAATCATCAGAATTGCAAAAGTTGTCGCAGCTGTTATGAAACCGTAATTTTTTTGAAAAAGAAATACTGGGTGATTATCTAGCTTACTGTTTCAAGATAATGAAAATGCATAGTATTTTTTGCAAGTAAAAAATCAAAATAAAAGTTTCAGCTGTTATGTATCTGTGGATTTAGAACTAGATGATACCTAACTTCGCTCTCAAAATCGGTAACTTTAAGCAATCTTTTCGGGACCAGCCAGTAAGTAGCTGCAGCTAAAAGAGAACAGGCTCACAGGAAGGAAATGAAGTCGAGCGGCGCTAGGGGGAGCGATCGAGTCGACGTACGAAGAGGCTCGGATGAGACTTGCTTATATGCGGTTGTCGAGGTGGAACGAAACACCATCGCGTACACTTCGAACGCGCGAAGCAGAAGAAGCGCAGCCCACCAGCGCTTTTCTGCTGCTGCGGCTGCTTGCGAACGCTCAGCATTGCTGCGTCATGTTCGCTAATCATGTAATGACCATAAATCCTCATAAGGAACAAGTATGCCCTGAAATATGCAAAAGGGCTTTTTTTCTGGGGGTAAAAAATGTAAAAATGTAAGTGGAGTTCATAGAATGATTTTCAGTCATATCATAGGATTATTATGGGACTATACCAACATTAATTTTAAGAAAACTTTATTTCACGACATTTTTATTCTTATTTTTTTTGCCATACTTAGTAAAGACCCAAAATGAAAATGTACACAGCTCTATAAGTATGGAGTTCACTCAACTGATTATCAATCAGGTCATAGACTTATTGAATTGTATCATTACTACTTGTTAAAAATTATTTTTTACCTTACTTTTTTGACATAATCAGTAAAAACCCAAAATGAATATGTGAAAGAGTTTATAAGTACAGAGCTCATATTAGACTTCGTGAATTGTATCATTCATATAAGCATTATTACATCACTACTGCTGATTAATTATTTTACTGTACCACGTTCTTATGACATTCTCAGTTGAGATCCAGAATGAAAATTACAGCCCCTTCTCCTCCGCTGAAACCGCTGAAAAGGGCTGCGAAATTTCCAAACCTAAAATTCAAGAAAATTGAAAAGTCAAGCGTTTTGATAGAACTTCAATGTGAGGTGAGCTGAATTAATTTTTTTTGCATCAACACAAAAATGAACGCAAAAAATAAAACACATTTTTTCTGATTTTGGTCCATTTTCCGTCCAACGCTTTTTTTTCAGTATGCTATTTCGCACCATCCCGAAAGTGGAATAGGAAAAATATTCCAGCCGTACTAGGATACTATAAATATATTTTTGAAAAATTCGAATTGTTTAATTGGCGTGCAATAGAACTTTCTGTTTCAAGTTTGAATGTTAAGTTTGTAATCACCTTGTTGTATTGGTGAGAGTAGATCCAACGAGAAAATTGTAGATATATGTTATTATATTATAAATTATTATTATTCTTTTATGTGTTCAAAAGACTGCGATATTATTAACAATGAAAATAAAAAAGAACAGCAAAAAAAACTAGGCAGTTTTGTAGAAGCTTTGATGTTCAGTGATCTTCTCGTAATAATAGCAACAATGAAAATGAGAATAAAAATATTGCTAGAGCATCAACCTAAAATTAAAAAAGGAATGAAATCTGCAAAAGTTGTTATAGAATTTATGTTATAAACATATAAGCAATATTTTTCATACCTTAAAGCGGTCGAACAAGATAAGTGGAAATACTCGGAAAAAATCTCTGTTTCACAACATCTACTTATTCGGCATAGAGCGAGCCCTCCGTTCAACGTGAATCTCAATAAGAATTAATTTTTTAAGGAGTTTTCAATCCATTGGAAGAAACGAAGGTGATTCATTGTCGTTTTTGCAATGTAGATCCTGCGAGATCAGGAACATGATATTTCTTACGGAAATTTCTGTTGCACTTCTTTTCCTTAAATGGAAGAAGCTTGATGCATGAATTTTTTTTAAAGAAAACAACAGGAAATACGGTAACAATTAAGTAAAATGTTATAAGTAACGCAGAACGAGTACTTTTGTAAATAATAACATCGAAAAAATGAGGGAATTTTCGGGCACTTGCTATGCTGCAGTAAGTTAAGAAATTTGAAATTGAAGCAAGCTTGAGCTTGGTTACGAATCTAATGCTTCGTTAGAGAAAGTGATATATAAGAAAAAGCCCATTTGCGCTTTAGCCTGGACGAGTTTACATTTCTTGGAATATTTTGAGAAGGGAACAACTCGCACTAGTAGATCTCATTCATTTCTTTTCATAACCTGTTTTCTATTCATCTACCTACTTTTTGAGTTGAATGAACCATTTACAGCCATTGAAACGCAAGTTATAGCGGTTGGAGGGATGAGGCTGTAACTGGTTCTGGGATATAAAGACTTTCTAATGGAAAAGAAGCGAGAATTTAGGAAACGATAAAGTAAGAAATTTAGATTCTTGGAGAAGAGAAGTTGTTGAAAAATGATTACGATATTTATTTCTTGTGATTTTTTCTTTGTATTTTCGCCGGGACGCAGAAAAAGCTGAAAATTTCAACTTTCATGCTTTGACTTTACTCATTTATTTATAACTACGATTACACCCATGTCCAAAGAAGTAAAAAAAGGATGGCAAAATTGAACGTGCCTATGTCGCATGACTCAATGACCCAAATTGATTCTGACAATCTGAAATAATAACTAATATTACAAAATTTCCCCAAAAATAAATTGCAATTTCTCAGTCCCACTGCCTCTTGGCTTCTCAAAATCTTTACAGCAGCTAATCACTATTCAACAAGCCCATCCTCTCCTTACGTAACCGGTCCCATTGGGAATCCTTGTACCTCGCGCAACACCCTAAAAAAGAAAGGAAACTTTGTTATGGACTTCGTTCGAACTCGTTTTGAGCATTGTTGTGCTGCGCTGTTAAACTTTATTGTGGAATGTAACTTTACACAATGGAAAACTGGTAACAGTGATAGAAAAACAATTGTGGAATGATAATGGCTGGTCGCAGGTGTGTTTCTGCAAGAATGCGTCAACATGCTTGCATTTGTTAGTTGTGCATTGTAGCGAAAAGCTGTAAAGTAAAAAAGAATGCTCAATTTAACGTTGGAAGAAATTTCATGCAGAGTTATACAATATGCCCATTTCCCAGGGATATCGAAAATGTGTACAAATAATTCTAACTGAATGTCCGGAGGATATGTTGTAGTTTTAGACAAATGAGACACTATTGAAAAAAAACAAAATTGTCCAAAACATATATCATGAAAAGAAAACCAGATTATAGGCTCAAGAAAAAATCCTTGCCCCGATTAATATTTCCATTTGTTAAGGATTCCAGGGCCCACAGTGAAATTTGAATTAAAAAAAGGGAAAATAATAATCTCTTAAAGTTGTGGACTACTTGATTGCTATATGGGCTCTAGATCTATAATAATTTGCGTTATACTGCAAATTCTAATTTTATTTTCTATCCTTTCTGTCCTACTCTTTGCTGTCGTTTATGAATAGGATTGATGAAGGTAGAAAAGTTATGCAAAACTGTATCGTGCGTGTAAGAAAGAGTGCCCTTCATCTTATAATCAGATCCTAGTGATCGATTCTGTTAGAATAAATGCACTACTCAATCGGTTTTTCTATCTATTGGACTACAGTGATATAAATACCGTAATTCATCTTATAAAAGTTGTTGCGATATCATCATTACTGTAATAGTGGTATGGGATCACGTTGATTCTGTAAACATATTGGCATACATTTTTCAGATCTGCGCGGCAGAAGTAACGAATAATAAAGGTGAATGATATGTTGAAAAAAAGTTAAGCGCAGATTGATGTGCTAAACCCGAATTTTACAGAGGTTTCAATGTATTAGGTTGGCCCAAAAATTCGTTATAACCCTTTTCAAGGGATTTTCATAGCTTTCTCATAGGATTTATACGAATGAGTTTTGTTCAGAAAGGGAAATGATGCGATTTCAGCGCTTGAAAGACTTTCTAAAACTCATATCTTGCAGAGATGAAATCTTTAGAAGGGAATTACTTGTTCGCTTTGTTCAGAATCGCCAAGAAGCCAAATCTCGGTCTAAAAACAGCTCAGAAGCTCAGACTTTATAAACATCTCTGCAGTGTTTGCGCATTGGAAGGAATTTCAGATGTTGTTGTAAAGCACATTTCCTCTTTCAAACAAAGCTAAATTTCAAAAAGTTATGAATTCAGAAAGTGGTGCGAACAAACTTTAGCTCCAACTCAGTATATCGACTGAAAGTTGAAATCAAAGTTTGCTCAAAATTTCTTATAGATCAAGTGCTTTTCAAGAAACTCTTGGAGAATTGGCCAAAATTCAAACATTTTATGGAACTTGCAACAACCGAGACAAGCTGCTTCCTCATAGGAATGCTCAAAAAAATATAAGTTTCGGAAATTCTCAAGGATGATCATTTCCACTTCAACCATTCCGGTGTATGGACAACGCAGTACTTGTTCTTGCCCTACTAACGCAAAAACCTTTGAGAACACAAGGATTACACGTGGGCCTTTTATGAGCGCTACCGTATCCAGAAAAGTACTACCAATAATAACCCTCAAAAATTTCAGTTCTCACATCGATCAGCATCAGGAACATTATTTTTTCCTTTTTGGCTCGTATTTCTTTGTTTGAGCGTTTTGGCAACCATCTGCTTTGGTGAGTTGTAATATACTTGATTTATGCTTTACGAAGATTTGAATGGGTGGCCTATTCGCACCGCTATAGTACGCTACCGTACCTCGCGCGGAGCAGGAAATACTCTTTGGATGGACATCATTATGTTACCATTAGGCTGTGGCGGCAGCTGTTGCTTACTGTAATGTTTTGAGATACATCATTTGTGGTGGATGTCCTGACGCTGATTGAGTCCACGGCAGCGTCCACCCGCTAGTCATACTCTCTCACCAGAGCTTATCACTTGAAATGTACCTGCCGAGATTACGGTAGCGTACTATAGCGGTGAGTCAGTGGCGTACCCAGGATTTCGGCTCGGGGGGGGGGCGACAAAAATTTTCTTCCGATGGAGGTGCGTGGCCAGCCACGCACTCCGAAATTTTTTTGGTGTGCTCCCTGAAATTTTCGCAAGCTTAGAACCGCGAAATTTCAGAAAAAGGGGCCCCGCCCCCCTCCCCCTTGGTACGCCACTGCGGTGAGTATATGACTATAAGGGACTAAATTATGAGTGCAGGACCAATTTCGGCATCTTATAGTATGCGGTTATGTATTAGTCGTAAGAAGAAGGCGGCGCATCATTGGCATGATATTTAGTAGTCCGGAATTTAGTCTCTTGGAAGATGTGAGTATATAAAGACTTGGAGAAAAAAAAATTATAGTAAATTATTTGTGTAGGACCTCAATTTCTTATCATTGTGTTAGAAAAAAAACTGACGAGTCTAAGCACGAAAAGAGACGCTTCTGAAGTTTGTGCAGGGCGGAGATTATCGATCGAACGCGACGCGTACTCGTGCAAAGCGTGTAAACGCTGTTTTTTGCCATCTTATCAAGAAAAATCTGCTAGTGACCTGCTATACATCTCTTTGCGATTGCAGTTTCATATATTTCTCGGATTAAGTCCTACTCAACAACCCTAAATCTTTGTTTTCAGTATGACAACATACCCAGTGACTCAGATTGGACCAATGTCGCCTTACTACCCTCAACCAACGGTATTAATGAGCAGACGACCAGAAAAAATGGGGTGATACACCAAATGATGCTTATCTGGATAAGTGCCAAATTTGATTCTAGTTGAGAACACCAAGAACACCACAACGATCAAATCGCCCCACTAGCAGGGAATCTCCATGGAAGCAGCTTTTAGCAAAAAGTCCACTAGAAGATAAAGGGAAAGCAAGTCCGAAAATCCATCCAAAATCGAAGTAGTTTGCTTAAAAGACGAACAATATTTGCTATGTAAACATAAACGATGTGAATAAACTGTGATTTTCTTGATTTGTTTGATTTTGAGCAGAATGAAACGTGGTCCTACGAGTTATTCTATTAGTGACTTAAGGGCTGGGCATACTTCACGGATTCAGTCGCGGCGCGATTTGGCAATATTCCAACTGTCCATAACTTATTGTAAGTACATTTTAAACGTACTGAATATAGGGCATTCTATCAATCCACGTAAGTTATACACACTATGCATGTGCAGTTTGCTAGTGTTGGGTCTGAAGACTTCTGGCGAACTGCCAAATCGCGTCGCAAATGAAATCGCGTGAAGTATGCCCGGCCATTTATCCACGCATCAGCATCCGGCGGTTCGTGCGTGAAATGACTTAACAAGAAGAGAAGGCTAATTTTTTGTGCAAACACATCCACATTACGCGCAAAATTTGGGTCTCGCATTCCAGGTCACACACACGCCAACCTAAAATCCCGCGCCATGCCTTTCCCCTCGCACGGATTAGATTCTCGGAAATTTGTGAAGTAGCTTACACCATTTAAAGGCTGTTTGAGCTTCTCTTGATTAGTGAAGCAACAATTTCTCTGAGTAATTCTACAGAAGTCCTATTCAGCCCTCCTCCCACCAAAAAAATTTTTATGGAGAGGGTGGGCAGCCGCGTCCTCTCCAGAAGGTCCATCATACTTGACGAATAACTCCTCAGCACCGTGGCTAGTACGCTTTGGTGTACCTTCTTCCTCCCCTGCCCCCCCCCTTCCCAACTTGAATATGGAGGATCCGCAACTGGTTCTAAAAACACTTACTTGTTGTTTTCCGCAACTGGTTCTAAAAACACTTACTTGTTGTTTTTTTTTGTGTAAAAATTGATAAAGAGAAATGAAAGCAACGGTTCGCCGTTCTGCGAAACAGCTGGATTCTACGCGCAACTTGGATGATGTGTGCAATCGCACACACACAATCTTGTATTGGAACGAAATGGGTAAGCCAATGAAGGTATTTAGTGCAGAAATGGTACAAAGATCATGCTCATAATCTTATCGAACTTATAAAGGCGACTACGACTACGACTACGGGGCTGAATAGGATTACTACTAAAAAACGTTAGCCAATGGATTTTATCAGCAGTCTTGATGTTAAGCTACAGGAGACCATCAGGGACCAATTTCATGCCAAAATTTATAGAAATACCAAACATAATAATTATTGATATTTACCATGATAATATGTGCATGCTCTAGCACTCACACACTAAAAATGAGTAAAATTTGTGAAATGCTACATCCACTAATCGATGGTCTAAAATCCCGTAAATCTTTTTTAGCAAGTTCCTCTCGCACTCGCCAATAATCCTGCACTAGTATCTCGATTTCGCGTGAACACCTACGATAAGATCGGAAAATCATCATATTGGACGCACGGGCAAGTCCTGGTCCATACCGATTCGATGGTCACATCAGCTTTTAGACATCACTAATTTGGTTTTATTCCTATCACAAGATTATGGCCCGTGATCACAATTTGTTTTGCTTAAAAATTCATGTGCGTAAAAAAGTGTGAATTTTCTTTCTATAATTCTTATTACAGAAATCAAAAATGAATTGTTTGTTCAGTCTAAATAACACAAATTGTTAATTCACATAATTTACCTCCCACATTCGTGTTGCTGCCTCATACACACTTTCTATAAACAAAATTGGTTTCAGATGTCAAAAATTCGCTTGAAATCTCTCTTGTCAAGCGCCCTACTTCTTCAATTTTTTCTTCTGATCTACCAAAAATTCCTTACTCCCTATTATTCGCCTTATGAAATCGACAAAATGCATGCTATTCAGCAGTATGTACTACAATTCGAGGACAAGGTAAACCTTGTTATATGTATCCTATTCTCAAGTACTAGATTGTTCAAAAGTTCTGTCCGTTCTGCATTATTTACTCAAAATAGTGTAGATTTCTTCAAGATCACTGTTCTTTATTATCTTAATTGAAATTGGAAAGCTTTTGACTGTTAAAGTCATATGACATTTAAATAAAGCAAGCAAGAGAAACAAAATATAAAGAGTATACAAGAGTATAAAAATCTATACATTTTTTTCGTCTAAAATCATCTATTCCGACATAGTACTCCTCTCCCACTGTGGTTACCAGACGTGTTCAACTCTCATTAAAATGTCCGTTTTTCCAATAAATATCTTACTTGAAGCGAGTCTATGGTTTTTTGCTGTACAAAATATCTATGAGCAATTTAAATTATTTTGCATCCGCAAGCGTTAACTTCTAACGATCGATTTTTTTACAGTAGTTACGGGTTCAGAAAGATTCAAGTAATGGATAGTTTTCTGCCAGTGTTGCAATTGTGACGGTTCTCGTTCTGATTGAATGAATAACTAAGATTGCGACCACGAGCGTGTGCCAGCGCCGTGCCAAGGTCTGTCGATCAATATAGTGTCCACGTGCGTTCCGGCAACACGATGGCAAGGCACAGGCACGCGGTCACTGGGCGTAGAAGTATAGGTTTGATAAGAGTAACTTGGATAGACAATCAATTTTTACGGAAGATAGTGGCGTAACCAGGATTTTCTTAGGAAGGAGGAGGGAGGGGGCGACGTGGCGTGTTGCCGGAACGCACGTGGACACTATAGATAGTGATCAATAAACCTTGGCACGGCGCTGGCACAGGCATTTGTGGACGCAGTTCTAGTTATTCTACAAGCTAATTAATCAGAATTTTTTTTTGGTATACTCCCTGGACCCTGGAATTTTTGCGGGCCCATAACCCCGAAATCTCGAAAAAGGAGAGCGTGGCGAGCCATCCCTCCAAAAAATTTTTTTGTAAACATAAATTGAATTTTTTCAAAAGTTTTTGAATACTATAATGATTTACAAGTATAAACAAGTTCTTGCACATTTTTATAGCTCAAATGAGTAATTTTCACATACGCGACCCATTTTCGGGGGGGGGGGGAGGGAGGGTGGTAGTAGAAGATCGCGCGTAACTCATTACAAACCTACAAATCATCCAGTTTCAAATGGGTACTTTCATGGACAGGTTGCGAAGATGTTTCAAAAATCTTTTTCTGGAGATCAACTGCATTCGGAGAACCTCTGCTTTCTCAATCTCAAAATTTCATAAGCACTGATATTTTATTTGGTTCGATAAGCTCGGGTTAGAAGCACAGTTATTTGTACCACGATAAGTGCAAAACTCGTGAAGAACAACTGTGAACACAAGACAATGAAACAAACGGACAGAACTTGTGGAAGACCTGGTATTTTCTAAATTTATTTACAGATAAGCCTTAATGCTTTACAATCTGATCCACGAGTTTCTGCATTTTTGAGAAATATTAATAGGCAGGTCGGTCGACCAAGACCTGTTATGGTCATAGTGGTGAGTATTTTCTTTGTTTATGTTTGCATTTGACTAAGATTTTCGTATCCCTTTGTTTTCTTTATTCAAAATTAAGTGCTCAAATAGCAGAAATATTTATAAATTCGAACCTATGCATAACATCCTCTGCATTTTCGAATGATCTCGAAAAATACCAAGTGGCGGAAAAGCAAAATTATCACTAATTTAGCCTCATAAACAACCTTAAAAAATATTCATAATCTGACTTGAACCCAGGGGGTGTTTGTAGTCACAAATTATGCTCGTTCTTCACCCTTTTTAGTGTATTTTGAAAAGAGTAGCTCTAATTCGCCAGCTTACAAAGGTACGGTGTACGGGTTCAGCAAAATCTTCCAAATTGCTTTAATTTCGTATTGGTTGAATTATTATACTTATCCATATCCAAGTGTTGGGAATGTTGGGAATTCGCCTCTATTAATTTGTACCATTTAGAAAAATCTTGTTCTGCATTATTTGAAACAATTTCAATTTTTCGATAACGTTGCAAATGCCCCGCCCTTATACACTCTTCAAAGCCAAAGGCAGTGCTCAGGCAAATTTATTATACTGAGTTCTTAAGTGTGGCAGGTTATATGATTCTTGATCGAAAAATTCAACCCTGAACTTTTCTTAAGATCTAAATCAAAACCCCCAGAATTTCGTACCTACGTTTCCCAAGCGAACAATCAATCTCAAATTAATGTTCAAAGAACGCGAATGTGAAGTTGAACTTTTCGTGCCAAATTGAACCGAGATGCCGCTCAGTCAATCAACCGGTTTAGGCTTTACAGTCATTTATAAGTCCATTTAGGAAGAAAATAAAGAAATCATTCAGCTTGTTTCAAAAATAACTGAGTAGAAATGGAATAGTGAAGCGACTGAAAAACTCGAATTTTCTCCGAAAAAGCATGAACAATTTTGCTTCAAATCTCGATTTTAGGCTGGTGAAGGAGATTTTCTTTGGATAAAAAACTTCATGTGTAATGTTATTGAGTACGATATGCTTACACGCATATCAGTGGTCACAATTGATCGCGTAACCACAACTTCGATCGCCAAAGAGATGCCAATGATGCCACTTTTTGAGCTCAGTTTTGCTCAGTTTGGGGTAATTTTTCAATCTTTTCAGGATGCAAAACCAAAAAGTGTTGATCTCTTCTAGGAGCAAATGGAGCAACTCTATGCCGATGCGGTGAAGGAACGACTACTCGGCATACTGAAACTAAGAATTGGAGCGCTTGTGCTTAAGAATAAATTGGATGCTTTGATTGGAGTTCCTAATCAATTATGGACAAATTATTTCTTGAATAGGTAGATGGGAATATTTAGCATTTGCGCTTCAAAAGCATTCAATTTTCCGAAAGCTTAGTTCTTTGTTAAATGGCCAGCAAGACGGTACAATCGGTGCCAGACCGCAAAAGAGCATAATCTCAGATGAAAGCTTGAGATCCTGACTGCAAAATTTTCTGAGTCTTAAATTTCATACATCCATTTTGCTTGGTTTTATTTTCGAAGTAAGAAATTATAGAAAGAAACTATACAAGAGTTCCAAATGCTTCAATCACTTTTTGAAAAACACTGAAAAATTTTGTTGCCGTTTACCTGGCGTAACTTATAAAAAGGCACTACGATAACCCCCTTGGAAAACATGTTTTTTCAGCCTTGCATCTCTCTAGTTTGTCCCCATTTATAGTTTCTATTTAGCAAGGATGAAATAAGGAAAAACTGTAATTTCTGTGAAAAATGCCCAGCGAACAGAATTTTGAAACAAGCTACCTTTCATTATGACTTGCTTAAGGGCGGCGTCCGGGCAAAAAGTCGATTTAGAGATTTTATGCTTACCCGGGCCTATTCGCTATGCTAAATCCGAAAACCACCACTAGAGAGCGCGAAAACGGCGAAAAAGGGGTCTAACGCAGGAGGAAAATCAGCAGGGGGCGGAGCGTCCGCCGGGGTGGATTCTCGCTCCCAGCTTCCGGAGCAATCCTCTCGGTTCCGATCTCAAATCACGCGTTTGCACTTGGCCGGTAGCGATGTAGGGCGACTAAAGGAGCCGAAAAGATTGCTCCGGGAGCTGAAAGCGAGAATCCACTCTGGCGGACGCTCCGCCCCCTGCTGATTTTCCCCCTGCGTTAGACCCCTTTTTCGCCGTTTTCGCGCTCTCTAGTGGTGATTTTCGGATTCAGCATAGCGAATAGGCCCGGGTAAGCACAAAATCTCAAGATCGACTTTTTGCCCGGACGCTGCCTTTAAGCGACAGCCTCAATTACACTGTGAAAAAATCATGCTTTGTTAATAATCTATATAACGAAAGCAAGTAGCTTCTCTTGTTCTAAAGTTTCGAACAAGACTAGTGGCATATTTCACTTTATAGAACTATGTACCCCCCTGTATTCGATCTAGATGAGGAAAGCTTGCTGGTGCAGAAATTGGTAAGTGCACATATTCTCCTCAGAATCACCACAGCGGAGTTGCTCCGCGATTTACAGATTTTCTTAGATTTTTTGTATTTAAGGATCCTCTTGATAAGGAAAGCACTATGATCGATTCTGCGTCATTCATAGGACTTGGCCGATTCAATCCCAGAGGAGCGAGAATTCTTACACGAGTAAGTAAAACTCAAATCATAGCTAGTCCAAGTAATTGTGATCTCTTTCCGCAGAGATTTACTTATCAGAGCCAAGTCGAGAAAGATTTTTTTATCCTCGCATGTGTCCCGCTTACGCAGGGTTAATGCGAGCGCTTTCCTTGTCAGGTGTCTCCGTGCTTTTCTATCTGAGGCAAGATCTTCATCTATTCCAAGTTCTAGCAGCTCGTCCTTGATTCTGTCCATCCACGTCGTCCTGTGCCCACTTCTGGTTCCTTTGCTTGGTGCCTCCACCGCCAGAGCTAACCTCGTGATTTGACTTTCTTCTGTCCATAAGCCGTACCATCGTAGCCTTCTTCCCTTCATTGTTTTTCTATTTTCATTTGGGCTCGTATTATGTCACAGCAGATTCCTAAGGTCCACCGCAACATCCTTGTTTCCATGATAATAAGCTTGCGCTTTTTGTTCCGCGTACATGACCCATTACTATTCTTCGCCAGACAGTGCTGCTGAACGGATAACGATCCGGTACAGTTGAGACTTAGATTGTTCTGGCGTTCATTTGTCGAACGGAGTTCCTTATGGCTCTCCATTTCATTCATGCTGTGTTCATCCTGCTTTGCGACTTCGTCTTACAAGCCTCTTTCCGCTGAGATGTAAGTGCCACTTACTTGTATGAGGTTGTCTTCTTCAGGATCACCATCGAAGCTCGTGGGGTTTGTTTCCCCACTTCCATATATTCTGCTTCCTGTTGTGAGCTTTGAGCCATACTACTACTACTCTAGCCTGTTTTTTCAGTTTTGTACCTCATCATGTAAGTCCTTTCCGGTACTTGTCAAGACCACATCATCTGCGTAGAGGCGTTCAAGGAGTTTCACGTTTGAGCGGTTCCTATCCTTTGGCACCATTGCATGCAGTTCCTTCTGCTTCTCTCCATATTCCTCCATCACTAGCCGCACGGAGTGGATGGCGTCGGTTGTATCTCTTCCTTTCACGTATCCGCATAATTCGATGACAGCATGTACCTTGAAGCTCGCTTCGATTATTAGCTCGAAGAGTTTCCGAATGCGACTCATCAATCGGATTGTTTGGTAGGATGCGCAGTTCGCTATGTCTCCTTTGTTCTTCCACAGCGGGATCGTTGGTGTACCTGTCGGCGAGGCATATCCTTGCTGTTCATGACTTGATTGAGAAGACCAGTTAGCCATTGCTCAGGGCTCACACATTCTCCAGAACTCGCTCGGTATGCGTCGGGACCAGTCACTTTTCCATTCTTTGTTCTTGCTTGGCTCAGAAAAATATAGAATTTGATTAATTTTTGGCTTGGAGATAAGATTCTTATAGAAGCTGGAGTTCCTACTCCACCGAATGACTTGCCATCAAAACCAATTTCCCTCTTACAGAGCGCTGATCTAGCCAGTAAAAAGTTCACTACAGTCAGCTCCGCTCTGACATATGCCTGTGATGTTCCTAAGCGGAATATCTGCCGACGTCTTTCAGCCAAGTAAGACATTTCTTGAGCTTCATACTGGTTGATGAAAGTATAAAGTCAAATCGTAAACTTCATCGTTGTCGAAGAAAAAAATTTGAAAGAACTAGTAATTTTTCTGGGCCTCAAGCCTATTTTCGACAAACATCTAAAAATAGAACATGGTGCAGAAATCAAGGAATTTCATGCTACTTTGATTTCATGGAACTTTTCCTCTCCGTATCATTGATGAGATATAAGGGATAGGGGGAATCTCCTGCATATATCCCGATTTTCAAATTCGTATGCTTTTCAAACAAATTTTCAATGTTCCAGACGAATGATTGGACCATCATGGTTTCGGAGCAAACGTGACTTATTACCTGATGTTGTACATCTTCCAAAAAATGCAGAAAGGGCGGCATTGAGGAGAGAAGGGCTGTGGTTGCTCTCGAAGGAAGGCAAATGCAATGATGTGGCGCGACGAAAGCTGAAGTAATTTTCAAAAATTTATAAGTAAAAAGCTTATTTTTTATTCTAGAACAATCCAAACATCTTCTTTTAGAACTTTTTTGAGCATTATCTGTTGCTTTCAGTTCTTCATTACTTCATAGCATGGCTAATTGGAAAGAACACTACAAAACACGCAACGCAGAATTTCGATTCCGATTTCGGCCACCTCACCCTATGGGCCATCGCAGTTTCTTGGAGGAGAGTGCTGCTAAAGATCTCTAAACTACTTCACAAGTTATTTCTATTGAATATTGATTCATACACTTCCATTTTTTGGTTCTTAGATTTATACGCATTTGACCTGCATTAATAATTAGATGGTGATGTGCTTTATCACTACTTTATTTGTTTATTTATTTGTTTTAGCAACTCAGGTATAGTAACTCAACTTTTTAGTGAATATCAGTAGTTTTTGAGGTTAAACAGTGAAAGAGTAGGAAATTTTTATTTTCTTCCTATTGATTGCTTAGTTATTTGAAAACTACTCCAACAGCTATGATATTTGTTCTCGTCACTTCAAACCCCTCTTCTCTCCAGCCAGTTTCAGTACACCAAATAGCACCCATGTTTTAAGGCAAACTTCACATGAAAACTTCCAAATTTCTTTTGGGAGGTAACTCGGAATTCGTCGACTTGTCATCATTGGTACGATAATCGCAGCTGCAATCATAATCACTAAAGACATCAGTCATACCTCGCGCGATTTGGCATTGCTGCAATGACTCTTACTCAGGTTGACTCTGAAATAAGGCGTGTCCGACTTGGGAACTTTACTGTGGGTAAGACTAAGGAGAGTTGTCGTAATCAGGAATCAAATTCGTTCAGAAATTGAAGAGATACTATGCTCGTGTAGGTGAAGAAGAAGAGCGCTAGACCTGTTAACACAGCTCCATTATAATTGGAGGAATGACTGTCGTCAGCGTACTGGTTAACTCCATTATCAAAGTCTTAGCCAAACTCAAAATCTCCATCTCTTACGTTACACATACTGTAAGGTCACTAAAAAGCGTGCTGTGTAAATTGGTTACGATCCCGGTAATCAGCTTTGCAATATATTATACCTCTACGAGCTCTACAAACCATTACCTATTATATTTTCTAGCGTTTCCTGTGGCCGTATTCGTCAGCGTTACCCAGTGGGTAAACTCACCCATGGTCGGTATTCACGAACACTCCGCCGCTGGGTCAGCTTACCCAGCAGCGTTGGGCGTCAGCAGGGTGCTCATTGACGTCTATTCAAAGCACGTACTTCCTCGCTGTGCGCTTTCCTTTTATTATGTACAATATCTCTACTACATATTTACGAGCGCCTCCGCTGCGTTATCGAACTCAGCAGTGGCCCTCGAAACTCTCATCAAAATTCTCGCGTAGGTTTGCGTTTTTAGCATGCAAACTAATAGTTTGATTCGACCGCGTGACTGAAATATTGTTTGAAGGCTTCCATATTTCTAAAATTGACATGATCTGGTACCATGCAAGATTCAGATTCGTGAAAGTGGTACGGAAATGTTTTCTCGAGTTGAGATTTTGAAGATGTGGGAAACTTGCAATAACACACATGGGATAAGACGCCTAAAGCCTTACAGGATTATACATTTTTATTGCAGTCGTGATTCTGCAAGTGTTTCAAAGGGGCTCAAGCTTTTGGATTAAAAAGGGAAAGAAAGCATGGCGAACACTTGAAATAGCCTAATCTATTTGAATGCGAGAGTTTTTGCATGAATAGAGCACCAAATTTACAAGTGGTTGACATACTGCTTCGTATACGATAGTTCTCGGTAGTTGCAGTAGTATTAGAAAACCTCTAAGATGAGCTAGCATTGATGAAGTCCATAGCAAAGAGTTTTTTGTTTGCAAAAATGTCAATTTTCACTTTGAAAAGATCTTGAATTCCTCGGAAAATGGTGACGTTAACTAGCTTGAACCGAAAGTTCAGTCGTCGCTTTTGTTTTGAAAAATTCGCAACTGCTCCCTATGTGAACATAATTGCTTACAAAAAACTTCTTCAGGAAGAAAAATTCATCTACTTTCTATAAACGTCTTCGCAGCTTTTTGTGGAAAGGGACTCTGCAGAAAAATTACATAACAAAACCATCCCAACTTTGATTTTCGAAAATGAATTGTCACAATTGTGCTGCAGAAAAATCTGGAGACATGTTTGTTGAAGCACTGTAAGTTGTCCTTTGTAATAGACCCGAGTTTGTGCTGATTGAGCTTTTCTGTACAAAGTTGTATTTCGAGGAGAACGCAAAAACGATTTCAAGGGTGCTGAGCTTCAAATCAGCACTTATACTATCCTCGTCCAGGTTTACGATTCTTGGACATTCATCAAATCGTCCGGCTGTTCGATACAAATAAAAGCAACGAAGAGGAAAACCGCTTTTAAGCGCGGCTGCGTTATGTATAGCCGAGGCTGGGAGCGTCTTGCGTAATGGTGGGGCAGCAACAAAAGTTCCAGAGTTAGGATCCAGCAACCAGGCCTGTCATCGAACAGCTGCGTGGTGCTCAAGTTTAAACGTTATTGAAGGCCGGTTGTGATACGCGATAGACAACATGAACAGTTTAGTGCTCGCGGTTATAATCTTCATTTATTTGTCTTCATCTATAGCTTTTTTTGCCATATTTCCTCTACAAATTGAGCAAATATTACGAAAGTAGTCTTGCTACTCAAGCTCTTTGATAGTACTAAACTAGTCAGGACTTGGTCAAGTCAAAAATTGTAACCGTGAATAAATCTTTGTTGGTATGGGATTCGCAAGTTGCATCATCTTAGATGATAGGTTGTAAAGAAAGTTCTGCCAACTCTTTGCGTAAATACCAAAAATGAACGCGAATGCAAAGCTGGTTTGAAATGTGTTCTTAGTGTGCGATGGCCCCAGCTACCTGACACGCTATTCAATTGAAAAAAATGACGATCAACTAGGGAAATGCCCAAAAAAGGAGAAAAATCCGTTACGCTTAGGTCTGGGAAAAGGCACATTTTTCAGATTATGGACGCGCAGAAATTCCAGAAGAAGCTTGATTTGAAAATCCGTTTTATCTGTGTGTTGGGTAGGTGAAGCAATATCCGACAAGTACTTGCCCCGGTATTTGAGTCTTTTTGCAAGCAAGAAATAACTCATTGAAATCAGGATTCAAAAAACCGGGCTCTCCACATGTTTTGAAACGGAGCCAGCGCGTTGTTGGAAAAAGACCATCTATGACATACCAGATCAGTAGTCTTTGTCAGTACACATGATCAAGATATCGCTAAATTACAGCCACTCATGATGAAGGATAAATAAAGCAGTTTGGCTCAGTGTCTATTAACAGAACTTTCTTTGCAACCTAATATGTCATCGAATTCTTTGCACGGATTGAAAATCATTTTGGATTATAGTCACGCAATCTGTGCGCAACCAAATATACAAACTCCGCCTTTCGAATGCTCAAAAATTGTATTCTCATCACTGCCCAAGAAATATATTGTACTAGCTGGCTTGCCCGGCTCCGCCCAGCCCTGTCAAAAAGTATGATAAAGGTTCATCCTTAACCCTGTACAAGCTTTTCCTCTGCCCACTTCTACTTCTACATGCCAACTCCCTACTCCCGCTGTGTTAGTAATCAGCATGCTCACTTACCTACCTGTGCCAACTCCCAGCCCTTTAGCTTGAACTTCGCAAAAATCGATAAAATCGATAAAAGCAATGGATAATTCAAACAACTAATATTGTAGTTGTAAACGTATGCTCGATTACCCCCTGTGCCAACTCCCAGCCCCGTATGTCAAACTTTACAAAAAATTAATAAAAAACGACAAAATCGATATCGATCGAGACGAAAAGTAGCCTATGGCACCCGCCTGGCATCGAAATGTATGTGTGCCAAGTTTGTCCGGATCGGTTTGGAAATGGAATTTTTTATCCGGCATACGTACACACAGATAGACATACACATACATACAGACCATGTAGACAAACAGACATTCAGCTTTATATTAGGTCGTTCCGAAAGTAATGTCGCTTTTTACAGACGCACGCCACATCTCGTGGAACAAAGATGTGTACGAGAATCTGGCAGCATTTGTTGCAGCATTTCATTCTCCTTCTAATGGTCATATAAGCGCTGCACGAAATTCAATAACCTTTTGAAAGATTATCAAAACTGCGTCCCATGCTTTTTCAGAAAGCTAAGTTTCACAATTTCTAAATTTTTATTACAACCCTCGGAAGGAGTCAAGTAATGAATGGATAGAGCAAACCCAACGAAACAGCACTACTTTTTTCTACTTTTCAGAGCTCGTCATAATTTTTGTATCGATTTTTTGATGGAACCACCGAATTTTGGCAGGCTCGTCTCTGACACAAATGCATCAAACACCAATATTTCCTTGGATTTTGAAACTTACAAAGATGGAATACGGTTTGTCACTAATTTTACAAACCAAATGAGCAATCACCGCTTCAGATTAGCAACTTTCGAAAATTCCGGGTACAGCAGGGCTCCCTGGAAACCTGAATTATGATAATTTTATCCCGGAAAACTTGATGAATCGGAAACAAAAAAATTACTAGGAAGAGCAGAAAGAGCTGCGTCGAATCACACCCGAGTTGCTTGCCGGTTGTTGTTCTGTGAGGTTCAAGTTGACCAAATATGGAATTTGAAGGCATTAGATTGGTTCCAGAAACTTTGAGAAGAAGGCTAAGGAAAAGAAAGAATTCCTCTGTGTTCCATAAGGTTTGCTCTATCTAACTGTCATTTGTATTCCTTGGAGAACAGGTACAAAAATTTGAAAAAAAAATAGCCGAACTTGACCATGGCAAAAAGCATGTGTTGCAAATTTTGGTAATTTTTCGAGAGCTCATTGAATAGTATGCAATAAAATTACAACCATTAGAAAGAGGATGAAATGCTGCATCCTAAAAGCTCTTGAAAATCTTTGTACCACGAAATGTGGCGTTCATTTGAAAAAAGCGACATTACTTTCGGAACGATCCAATAAAGTGCGATTCATAATTATACGAACACCTAAACTTTTGTAAGTTTTTGGACTTTTTGGGAGAAACTCAAAAAGTCGTTGGTACCACGCGATAGAACACAGCCGAAAACGGTATATGATCCATAAGAAGGGAAACTGATGTCAATATTAGGAGTGTTTTTGCGATTAATGCGAGTTTTTAGCGGTTCATAATTATACGAACACCTCAAACAAAGGTCCATTTTCCATTCAAGATTGCAATCATTTGAGTCCAAATTTTCTGTAGAGTTACAGTAACACAAACTCTGACATATCTGCTACACGCTGACCCCCAGTGCAGCTCAAAAGAGGACCGTTACTTTTTCAGAATGCTTTTGGAGTGATTGCGCTCAAAAAAAATCCGTTCTTCTGTGGTTTACGCGCTCTAATTAGCTTCTACCAAAGCTATGAGATAAAATAAGCTTTTTTGATAGGTATTTTGTTTGACGCTTGGAAAATCTTTGCTTTTTCGTGCCGTTTTTCCACCAAGTTCCAACCTTATCACAGAGTTAGCACGATTTCGAGCCTCAATACTCAGCTTCTGAAGCCGTACAATGAAGTAAGCATGTAGTATGTAGAAGTTTACAAGACTTCATATTTGGCTAGAAAAAATCAGCAGCGCTGAGCGTTTGTTTTGGTCACGCAGACGTTATTTAACCAAAAATACTGTTTTTACTATTGCAATCACACCCTTATTTGTTTGTAGCTCCACAGCCGCAAGATCAGTTTTAGAAAAAACCCAAAAACTTTGGCACAGAAACACCATCATGCAAGCAATGCAGCTGCTTCATATCAAAATGTTTGCGCAAGAAAGAAGCTGAGTTTTGAGGCTCGAAATCGTGCTAACTCTGTGGTAAGGTTGGAACTTGGTTGAAAAACGGCAAGAAAACGCAAACATTTTCCAAGCGTCAAACAAAAAACCTATCGAAAGAGCTTATTTTATCTCATAGCTTTGTTAGAAGCCGTTTAGAGCGCGTAAACCACAGAAGAACGGATGTTTTTGGAGCCCAATCACTCCAAAAGCATTTGGAGCCTTCTAGAAAAAGTAACGGTTTTCGTTTTGAACTGTACTGGGTTCAGTGTATAGCAGGTATGTCAGACTTTGTTACTGTAATTCTACAAAAAATTTGGACTCAAATCATAGCAATCTTGAATGAAAAGTGGACCTTTGTCTGAGGTGTTCGTATAATTATGAACCGTTAAAAATTCGCATTAGGCGCAAAAACACTCCTAAACTTGACATCGATTTCCATTCTTATGGATCATATACCGTTTTCGTCTGTGTTCTATCGCATGGTACCAACGGCTTATTGAGTTTCTCCCAAAAAGTCCGAAAACTTACAAACTTTTGGGTGTTCGTATAATTATGAACCGTACTTTATATAAGATGAGACTTGGCATTTCATTAGGAAGGCCACTTCATCATTGGTTGTTTGAAAAATTTCGAACGATATAGTGTCTGTTATGTCTTTTGGCCGTTCCGTAACATGCTTTTACAAAGGCAGTTTGGACGGATCGTTGTTTTACAACGTAGAATTACGGTATCTCTGGCTATTTCAATAGCTCTAAGTTTCTGTTTCCAAGAACGCAGCAAAAATCTTGTCGCTGGTATGAAAAGACTAGTCTTATATATAAAGCTGAATGTCTGTTTGTCTGTCTGTCTGTCTGTATGTCTGTATGTGTGTACGTATGTTCCGAATAGAAAATTCCATTTCTGAACCGATCCGGACCAAACTTGGCACACATATCACAGTCCACTTTTTGTTATCGATCAATGTCGATTTTATCGATTTTTTGCAAAATTCGAGCTGCGGGGCTGGGAGTTGGCACAGGGGGGTAATCGAGCATGCTGATCACCCCGTGGGGGTGATCAGCATGCTCGATTACACCCCTCAGCCAAATTCCAGCCCTCTAGCTCAAATCTTGCAAAAAATCGATAAAATCGACATTGATCGATAACAAAAAGTGGACTGTGACACCCGCCGGGGCCCGAAGTGTATGTGTGCCAAGTTTGGTCCGGATCGGTTAAGAAATGGAATTTTCTATTCGGAACATTCGGCGGAGCCGGGTAAGCCAGCTAGTGTTGTATAACATAGAATCCGCAAGCCATCTTTAGCCTTCATCGGTTTGTTGAGCTAGAAATTTCTGAGCGTCACAAACAAATATATTAGTTTGAACCGAAAGTTCTGTCGCACCAATTTCAAAAAGTCATAACTTCTTTCCCTCACAAGTATTTTGCACAATTCAAACTTTATCAGAAAGCGTAAAGCATGTAGTTTCCAAAAGTCCCCTGAGGACTTTCCAAAATGTTCATGTCGCAGAGTTAAAAATGAAGGAACGAGAATATCCGAAATTGGGAATTTTTAAGCAAGAATTTTAGGAATTCAGAAACTGTGTGATAAAATCCAGAAAAACCATTATCCTAATTCTTCTTATATTTGATTACTAACTGAGTCAAGTTTGTGCTGATCGAGCTCTTCTTTCAAAAGTTATGATTTTTTGAAAGAAAATGCCGAAAAATCGATTTCTTAAGAATTCTTAGGAAATTGGTTTTTCGGCATTTTTTTCAAAAAATCATAACTTTTGAAAGAAGACCTCAGTCAACACAAACTTGACTCAGTTAGTAATTAAATATAAGAAAACCTAGGATGATGGCTGTTCTGGATTTTATCGCACAGTTTCTAGATTTTTAGAATTTTTGCTCAAAATTTCCGAAATTCAAATGGTCTCGTTCTTTCATTTTTATTTCTGCAACCTGAGCATGTTGGAAAGTCATCAGGGAACTTTTGAAAACTACATGCTTTACGCTTTCTGATAAAATTTGAATTGTGCAAAATAGTTGTGAGGGAAAGAAGTTACGATTTTTGAATATGGTGCGACAGAACTTTCGGTTCAACCTAATATAAAAGAGTGATAGATTTATCTTTCAATCAAGCATATTTTGGAGCATCTCGGCTCAATAAAGAAATAAACAAGTAAAAAACTGCCTGAAAATTGCACCACATTATTATCAATAAGATTGGAAACCACTATTTCGATGTATCGTCGTCTTCCCGCGATAGATGGGGCGTGTCGTCTGCAAAGTCCGTAGATGTGCGTGTTTCGTAGGGTGCTAGCCGGCGTGGCTTTGCCAACGTTGCCAACGTATGCGCGTGACAGTTTTTGGCAGTTAGAGAGTACGAAAACTAATGTTATATGATGAAAATTCAACAAGTATTTAAACGGATAAATATTAGGTTGCCCGGGAATAATGTCGCATCGTGCTTTAACATGCAATATGCAGCAGGGTGCGCACGAAAGTAAGTGAGTGGGGAAAAACACGACATAATCGCACTTTTGACCTTCTTTTATTTCTCGTACTGTAGCCATGGAAAAATACCACAAACTATATAGGTGAATGCCCAGTGTAGAGAGTACATGCCTGTGCAAATTAGAGATCCATAAGACTCTATGAACGGAAATACGATTTTTCGGATATTCAAGATTTTTTATATTTTGTATTCGAGTTTCAGGTGGAGCACGATTTCCGCGGAGGTTTGTAAACTATCTTATAGAGCTTACTTTGCTCTATCAAAGATACCCCGTCCGCTTTTTTTGTGTCATTCTGTCGCGGTAGGATGCCATGCTACATTTTTCCGAACAACCTAATACTTCAAGGCACTGATATGATTAAAAGTATTTAGTCACTTATGTGATGTAAACCTCAATTTTTTTGCATGAAGATGCAATTTTGTGCGTTCGGTTGTAGACCCGACTGCTGAAATGCGGCGCTGAATTCAAGAATTGTGATTAGTGACTGTATGAAGCAATTTTCTCCATGAATATTCAATTAATCAGCGGAAAAGCTTTTCATTCTCATTTGGATGCAATATGGGTCTTCTTACAGTCTGTCCACTTCTATTTCTTCTTCCATTCGCTATCTCTATAAAGGATGATCGTCTACCTTGTTGGTGGAAAACGGCTTGTAACGTAGCCTGCAGACAAGTAACATGGTTTTACAGTCGGGTACTTTACAGTCCGCGTAAAAAAGTCAGTCATTTAAGTTGCTTTTATCTCTAAACATTTGTACTTGAATGATTTTAGAGGATAGAAAATGAGGACATGGTGGACCGATTTTGTGAATCTACAATCAAATGGGCAATGCATACTTACGATAACCCAACGCAAGTGGAAGAAGAAGACTTCTGCAATTATTTGGTACCGCTGCTAGCGAAAGATCCAAAATTGCACTACTTGAAAGTTGAGCATCTTTATCAAGTTGGCATCCCTTCCATTTATTTTGTGCAATTTAAGGGCTACAAAAAGGTGAAAAAAAGTGATTTGATAAGGGAATATTACCATCAAATAGTCGTAGCGACAATGATAAAGCTATGCCAGGAAACAGTCTGCAAGGATACTTGCAGTGACGGTAAGAAACAGAGGATAAGTGGTATGAAACTGCGATGAAATAAAGTTGTTTTTTTTCTCTTTCATATATCAAAACATGAAAATGATACTTTTTATTGTTAGAGAAAATGCAGTTGACGAAAATCAGAATACCGAAATGGGTACTTATTCGTTTTTAAAACACAACACAAGCGCCATGGTTAAACCGTAATCATGTCTAAATCGGTTCAGCAAATGCGGCGCACTAAATGACGGGCGATTCCTATTTAATGCCGCGTGAGCGAAGTTTAAGAATGTTATACTTAGGGCTTGGGACGACCTGACACCGAAATAGGTAAGTCAATAACTTTCTTTTCTTTAGGCCACCTGAAATGGCTCGCTAGTAGCACGAGGCCACCTGAGGCCGAAAAAAGTCCTTCCAGCCTCTAATTCACATAAAAGGATAAAGGATAAAAACATCGGCTTTTTCAATACCCTCTAAGAGCATGCGCCGAACGCACACACTAACTTCATATTCGAAGAGGCAATTGTATGCGTGTGAGCCTATTACAGTGACTTGCGGGGGTCAGCCGCTTCCAAGTCAGTGCTTTTATCCTCCCAGATCACTCTGGTACCAATTTACCGGCCCCGGAGGGTAGAGGTCTTGGTTGGCCCAGGGACGGGGATCGAACCTGTGTCCGATCTGGTCATAGCGCCGCCTCATACCACTACGCCACTCATCCCCTGCTAATTCACATAATCTGACTACTCATTGTGCATACAGGGCTTAATAAACGCGGTGTCGCTTGCATCAGCATCTCCACTCCAAAAATTCGATATCTCAAAAACTCATTTGTTCTTATCACCGACTAGCTGGCTTACCCGGCTCCGCCTGGCCATGTCAAAAACGATAAAGATTCCATTTCTATCCCTGTACACCTTTCCCCGTGCCCACTTCTGCATGTAATTCCCTATTCCCGCTGTGTGAGCAATCAGTATGTTCCTACCTTCCTCACCAACGTCCCAGCTCCGTAGCTCAAACTTTGCCAAAAAAATCAATGAAATTAATAAAAGTAAGGATAATTTACCCTCATTCTAATCTAAATTAATAAAAGTAAGAATAATTAACCTTCATTAACATTCACTTTCATTCTAACCTTCATTCATTTGTTATAGCGCACTTCACGTGCACAAAATAAATAAATAAATAATTCTGAAAATTGATGGCGTAATTCGGCTATCCGGCTCTAAAATGTTTTTGGGTGGGTCTTGCTAAGACTCGGTATATGGGGGTTATTCGAGCCGCTGATGACGAATATCGTAGTCATTTTGCGCGATGGTGCTATTTTCTAGGTTTACGGGGGACACGTAAGAAACTAAAATCATGGATTTCGCTGAAACTTTGCTTAGGGGGGCTGATTGACATGCTGATTACGAATATTATACTCCTCGGCATTCTGGGTGTTACTGAGTTATGGTAGGTATACTGCAGAGGGGCAAAATCTCAGTTTTGGCTAAAACTCGGTCTAGAGAGATTCGGCCTTCTGACCACGTTTAAAATACTCTCTTTGCGTTTTGAGACCTTTTCGCAGAGTTACGGTGGGTACATGGCAAAAGGTAAAAATCATGAACCTGCCTGAAACCTTGGCATGGGATTGCCTTCAAAAAAGTGATATCTGTAATCAGCACGTAACCCTAACAGATAACCCTTATAGACGAAGTTCAAGCAAGCTCTACGACAGAAAAATTTAGGGGCCCGGTTAGCCGAATAGCGCCAAACTAATAATGCACTCATGCTCGACTACCCCCTGTGCCAACTCCCAGCCTCGTAGGTCAAACTTTACAAAAAATCGATATCGATCGATGACAAAAAGTAGCCTATGACAACCGTCCGGCCCCGAAGTGTGTGTGCCATGTTTGGTCCGGATCGGTTCGGAAATGGAACTATACGGAATATACAGTGACCGTCAAAAAATTGCAAACAAGCCGCCTTCCTTCTTTCATCGCTCATTTTCAGATGGAAAACAAAGATGAAAAAATGACTGGATTGCATGTGGTGATAGAGCTCTTCAAGAGCAACAATCTACACGTTGCGCTTTCTGGAAAACATGTATCCAATAAATTGTAAAAATCTTTTTCTAAGAAAAGGTCCAAAAATGGCCGCGTCACAATGTCGCGGACAATAATTCTTCGAACGCGGAAATTTTCTTTTAGGTCTTATTTTGCAGCAAAAACAAAGGTTTTCCGGACAGGTAAACAAACTATATTAGAACTCATCGAGGACCATAATCGAGTAGTGGTTACTTCCAAAAAAACCCAAGCTTGAATTTTATTTTGCTTCTTTTCAAAAAATAACTTATAATTCCCTGCTTCAAGCCAAATTTCTTTGCATGGAAACCCATTCAAGACATCCAAACAAGGCTATTCGGACAAAATGGATGCCCTCTGCCATCTTCTATGCATCGGACGTGTGCTGGTGAGTTTCTTTGCTGAAAATGGCTTGACGGTGCGTGCACACGACCCCACCTGCACCTCACCACTGAGTTGCACCGCATTACAGGGTTGTAGCCCGGCCGGCAGTCATTGTACGAGCCTGCAAGTAGGCTCACTCGAAAGAGCTTGACTTCCTGGACAAGATGGCATGCAGAAGAGTCGGGTATGAGAAACAGCAGAGATTTGGCGGATGAGGTGACAGCGCAGCCATAGAGGTGAATGGAGCTAAGGCTCTTATCAACACTAGAACATTCCTAAAGCTTCGAAATGGATCTACTACAAGAACATTGACAGTTCTAAACTTCCAGGATGGAACTTGAGGCGATAAAAAGCTTTGTTCAACTTTAGCTGGAAATTCTTAGCCTACCACTGAAGCTGCGCTTTTTCACCCCGTCCGCCAATTCTCCGCTGTGCCTCATACCCAACTCTTTCGCATACCATCATGTCCAGAAAGACAAGCTCTTTCGAATGAGCCCATTTGCGGACTCGTAGAGCGATTGCTGGCCGAGCTACAACCCTGCAGTGCGGTGCAACTCAGTGGTGAGGTGCAGGTGGGGTCACGTGCACGCACTGTCAAAAGCCATAGCAAAGAAACTCACCAGCACACGTCCGATGCATAGAAGATGGCAAAAGTCATCCATTTTATCCGGATAGCTTTGTTGGGATGTTGTGAATGGGTTTCCGTGCGAAGAAATTTGGCTTGAAGCAGGAAATTAGAAGTTATTTTTTGAAAAGAAGCAAAATAAAATTCAAGCTTGGTTTTTTTATAAGTAACCTCTACTTGATTATTGTCCTCGTGCTTATCTGTCCGGGAAACTTTTGTTTTTGCTGCAAAAAAGACCTAAAAGAAAATTTTCGCGTTCGAAGAGTTATTGTCCGCGACATTGTGACACGACCATTTTTGGACCTTTTTTAGAAAAAGATTTTTACAATTTATAGGATATATGTCTTTCAGAAAGCGCAACGTGCAGGTTGTAGCTCTTGAAGAGCTCTATCACCACATGCAATCCAGTCAATTTTTCATCTTTGTTTTCCATCTGAAAATGAGCGATGAAAGAAGGAAGGAGGCTTGTCCGCAACTTTTTGGCGGTCACTGTACGTACACACAGGCATACAGACATACAGACATACATACAGACATACAAGCAAACAGACATTCAGCTCCATTTTATATATACAAGATCGAATGGTGTGCTTGTTCTTTAGGTTGGTGGATAGGCATGCCTGCGTGTTGTTGATGCTGTCTGTAGGTTCTCGATAGTGCTTTCGTGTCTGTTGGTTTCTAGTATGGAAACCAAGAGGCACATGTGTCTGTTATTGTGGGATGATTGGTAACGGCTTCATTGAGCTGGGCCGGGATTTAGCAGAGGGGTTCACGAGCATAGATGTTGGTCACGATCAATATCCCCTTTGGAAAAGAGCATTACTTCCATCAAAGTTAACGATTATTTGCAAACTTTGAACTAGAGGCTGGGAGTTGGCACAGGGGGATAAGCGAGCATGCTGACAAACGTGATGACCATTTCTGAAAATGCCCATTGCTTCTATCGATTTTATCGACTTTTCGCAATGATTGAACCACGGCGCTGAGGGTTGGTACAGGCAGGTAAGTGAATACCATTCTTATAATACAAAGTTATCGATAACCTTCATTGCCTTTATCGATTTTCTGCAAAAAGCTACAGGGCTGAGAGTTGGCACATGGGTAAAAGCGAGCATGTCGATTACGATTATAATGAGTGTTCTTGAAAGTACCCATTATTTTTATCGATTACCCTAAAATCCCGCCAATAAGTCCGGACTTATCTATTTTTTGACACAAAAAATTGATAAAAAATCGCCCTCTGCGCTGCCAGAAGTCTAGCAGATCTGCTGCGGTCTGATGGGAGTTCATCTGCTAGACTTCTGGCATCGCAGAGTGCGATTTTTTTATCATTTATCAATTTTTTGTGTCAAAAAATAGATAAGTCCGGAGCGGGATTTTAGGGATCTATTCTCTGTAAAATTAAAGCTACACGGCTGGCATTTGGCACAAAGCTGTATGTGAGCACGCTCAACCTGCGAATACAGTAACTGTTTTCGAGAATACGCATTACTTCTATTAATTTCCTCCTTTTTTATCAGAGTTGAAGCTACGAGGCTGAGATTTGGCACTGGGGTGGGGATAAGTGAGCGTGCTGAGCATTCTATAATCACATTTGGAATTGACAAAGACGGTAAATTTATCAAAAGTTGCTAGAAATTCACTTTGGGCCGCCTTTACTTTATGAAAATCCTACTTCTGCCCCTAAAATCAGAAAAGCACGAAGAGCCTGGTCCCGAGGGAAGAGAATAAGAATTTCTAGGGGTCAGTGACCAATTATTTATTACCTTCATTGCCTTGGAATTCATCTTCTACACGTCCCTCGACTGGTCGGTCATTTTGACCGCTCTTCCCCACCCTACCGGACGTCGAACCCCTTGATCCAGGAAGCCCCGGAACAGCAGGATCAAGTATGTTCCACCCCAACAACGACTGTTCGCACATCGAATTCAACGTGAGACGCCTGCCAAACGAAGACCAACTACATGAACTGCAAGAATCCCTGAAGAAAAC